CGGTTCCGGTCAGGACCCGGCCCACGGGCACGGGGGGGGGGGAGGGGGCAGCCTCTGGTGCCGCGCCTCCTCGCACGGATCCCAGCTCCACTGTCGAGAGCTGCGACACCGCAGCTGGCCGGGGAAGGGGTGGGGGATGGGCTCGGTGTCCTCAGCCCCCTTGCTCAGCCGCAGGTGGCTCTCATGCGCACGGGCTCCCAGAAGCCTGGGGAGGCAGAAGTCGATTGGGATGGGCCTGAGGACGAGAGAGGCTAAGCTCTGTGTCTCCATCCCTGACATCACAGGGCCACCTGTGTTCTGCGGTAGTTCTCTTCTGGTATGGAGCCCACCCGGTCTCTGTCCGTCCCCAGGCATGAGCAAGGGCCACGACTTGGGATCTGTGGGGACACGGGGGTGGGAGGCACTCCGTCCTGAGGCCAGGCTGGTGGAGGCCGGCCTAGCAGAGGCTGGCATGGTAGAGGCTGGGCTGGCGGAGGCCGGGCTGGTGCCTGCCTGCCTGGCCAGGCCAAGGCGATCTGGGTGCTGGAATGCTGTTTTCAGCATCTCGCGCATCTGAGTCTGAAGAACCACAGAGCACCCGCGCCCTCTGGCGGCCATTTCTCTCTGTAGCAGCGGGAAGCGGAGGGTGAGCTGTGTGTGCAGCGTCAAGCGGCTGGGTTTGGGGCTGGAGAGAGGCGGGGCTGAGGGGTGGGCAGGCGTTGGAATCCCCCCGGTGTGTGGCCATGGGAGCGTGGGAACGTGGGAGGGCACGGAGGGGTCACCCCAGCCGGGCTCCTGTGGGGTCTGGACAGTTCCGTCCCGGAGCCTCTGCTTGCTGTCCTGGGACTGACCAGGAAGCAGCCTGGACTCGGTCACCATTCCTGCTCAGGGTCGGCCAACACCGGCCATCTCCAGGGGCCCCGGGGTCACCGCCTCCAGAGCTGACCCCTGGCGCGACTGGGTGGACTCCTAAGCTCACAGCTTTGTGGTGCTCGTCCCTGTTAGTTTGCTGCACGGATGTGACCACGGAGGGGATTCACTGGGCCCCTCCACGGAAGCACAGCCCTCCCCCCCAGCTCCTGCCTCGGCCTGTGGGTCTTTTGGGATGGTGCCAATGAGTCTGGTGGGTTTCCTGCTGGCCCCTGGCCCCAGGGTGCTTATCCCCGGTGGACCAGGCTGCCTTCCTCCCGCCCGGGCTTACGCAGCCATCCCGCCCCGTCCCACCCTGTCCAGCCCGCAGAGTTAAGTGCCAGGTTTATCTGAGGCATGGGATTATTTTATTGTAAGAAAGAGCAACACTCCTGAGACGGTCAAAGCAGCTGGGTAGTTGCGTTACGAGAGAAGTACACAACCCTTAACTGAAAGTATGAAAGAGTATTCTAGGATCTTTTGGCCCTTAGGTGCTGACCCTTGGAAAATGAAATAAAAACGCTCCTATGCCTAGGAAGTGGGGTTGAGGGGTGCGGGCATGCTGGCAGAGTGCGTGGGGGCATGCTGGAACATGCTGGGGCATGGTGGGGATCCAGGGCTTGGCCCCCCAGCCACAGAGTGACCCCACTCGCAGGAATGCTGGACTCGTGGCCGTCCAAGCCCTGGGGTCCGGCCCGCCTGTCTCTTCTGAGTGAGGGCCACTGAGGGGGTTACAGTTCTCATTCTTGGAGGCTTTGACATCCGCCTCTCTTCTGGAACCTTCTCTGAGCAGCGGGACGGTCACAGGTCTGTGGACAGGAAGTCCGGCAGCGGCTTGCCTTCTTCAGCCGACTTGCTGGCCAGCTTTGTGGGACAGAAAGCAGCCCTGCCAGGAACCAGCCCCGCGCTCCCCTCCCCGAGGCCCAGCCCGACCTCCTGTGACCCTGGCCCTGACAGGGCTGGTCCAGCCACACAGGCCCCTTGCTAGCTGTGAGGACCTGGGGCTCTGCGAAGGTCTAGAACCTTCCTCCAGCAGGGCAGATGCAAGGGGTGGGGGCAGGCTCAGTGCTCACAGTAAGCTTGGGAGTTTTCCAGAAGCACAGCTCTAATTAATACCATCCGCCATGGGCCTCTAGGCCGGCGCAGGAGAAGGAGCTCAGGACGGCATCCCGAACTAGCTTTGCGTTGAGGGCCTCTCGAACACACGTGTCCATTCTCCAGCCCCAGGGCAGAGCTGCGGGGGCTCAGCAGGAGCACGGGGGGGCGGGGCGAGGGGGGGGCGGGGGGAGGGGGGAGGGCGGGGGGGGCAGGGCCCGCACCTGTGGGGGCCCAGGGCCGCTGTCTACACCTGTACCCTGGAATTGCTGGCAGTGTCCTGACCACGCTTCCCTGGGAGGGGCCGGGTGTGCACACTTGTGCACGTGTGTGCACACCCACTGCTTTCTCTTGGGTGGCCACCCTCCCTCCCTCTCCCCCGACTTGGCCCTCACCATGGTTTTGAAGAACTGGTTCACTTTCTTCCTCTTCAGGGTCTTCTTGTCCCCGTCCGAGAGGTGCAGGAAGGCCTGGCTGAGGCGTGGGGATGTGCCGGCCTCATCCAGCCCCGCTGAGCTGGCCACGGAGAGCGTGAGGGCTGGAAGAGAACGGAGGCCCAGGCCCAGTGAGCAGCGGAGGAGGCCCAGGCCAGTGAGCAGCGGAGGAGGCCCAGGCCCAGTGAGCAGTGGAGGAGGCCCAGGCCCAGTGAGCAGCGGAGGAGGCCCAGGCCCGTGAGCAGTGGAGGAGGCCCTGCCCAGTGAGCAGCGGAGGAGGCCCAGGCCCGTGAGCAGCGGAGGAGGCCCAGGCCAGTGAGCCACGGAGGAGGCCCAGGCCCATGAGCAGCGGAGGAGGCCCAGGCCAGTGAGCAGCGGAGGAGGCCCAGGCCCGTGAGCAGCGGAGGAGGCCCAGGCCAGTGAGCAGCGGAGGAGGCCCAGGCCCGTGAGCAGCGGAGGAGTAGAGGGGGAGGGGAGTGGAGGGAGAGGGTAGTAGAGGGGAGGGAGTAGAAGGGGAGGGAGTAGTGGAGGAGGGAGGAGAGGGGGAGGGAGGAGAGGGGAGGAAGTAGAGGGGGAGGGGAGTGGAGGAGGGGAGTAGAGGGGGAGGGGAGTGGAGGGAGGGGAGTAGAGGGGGAGAGTAGAGGGGGGAGGGGAGTGGGAGGGAGTAGAGGGGGAGGGGAGTAGAGGGGGAGAGAGGGGAGGTAGAGGGGGGGGAGAGGGGAGGGGAGTGGAGGGAGTAGAGGGGGAGGGGAGTGGAGGGAGGGGAGTAGAGGGGGGAGGGAGTAGAGGGGGAGGGAGTAGAGGGGGAGGGAGTAGAGGGGGAGGGAGGGGAGTGAGGGGGAGAGAGGGGAGTAGAGGGGGAGGGAGGGGAGGAGAGGGGGGAGGGAGGGGAGGAGAGGGGGAGGGAGGGGAGGGGAGTGGAGGGAGGGGAGTGGAGGGAGGGTAGTAGAGGGAGTAGAGGGGAGAGGAGTGGAGGGGGAGGGGAGTAGAGGGAGGGGAGTGGAGGGAGTGGAGGGAGGGGAGTAGAGGGAGTAGAGGGGGAGAGGAGTGGAGGGGGAGGGGAGTAGAGGGAGGGGAGTGGAGGGGAGAGTAGAAGGGGAGAGTCGGAGGGGAGTTGGGTGAAGTGAATCAGGGTGGGGGGGAGTATAGGGAGGAGGGGAGAAGGAGGTAGAGAATGGGAGGGGAGGGGAAGGCTGAGAGGTGTAGGGGTGGGGGGATGTGGGGAGGGGAAGGCTGAGAGGTGTAGGGGTGGGGGATGTGGGGAGGGGGGGAGGGGAAGGCTGAGAGGTGTAGGGGTGGGGGATGAGGGGAGGGGGGAGGGGAAGGCTGAGAGGTGTAGGGGTGGGGGATGTGGGGAGGGGGAGGGGAAGGCTGAGAGGTGTAGGGGTGGGGGATGTGGGGAGGGGGGAGGGGAAGGCTGAGAGGTGTAGGGGTGGGGGAGAGGGGAGGGGGGAGGGGAAGGCTGAGAGGTGTAGGGGTGGGGGATGTGGGGAGGGGAAGGCTGAGAGGTGTAGGGGTGGGGGATGTGGGGAGGGGAAGGCTGAGAGGTGTAGGGGTGGGGGATGTGGGGAGGGGGGAGGGGACGGCTGAGAGGTGTAGGGGTGGGGGATGTGGGGAGGGGGGAGGGGAAGGCTGAGAGGTGTAGGGGTGGGGGATGTGGGGAGGGGGGAGGGGAAGGCTGAGAGGTGTAGGGGTGGGGGATGTGGGATGTGGGAGGGGGGAGGGGAAGGCTGAGAGGTGTAGGGGTGGGGGATGTGGGGAGGGGAAGGCTGAGAGGTGTAGGGGTGGGGATGTGGGATGTGGGGAGGGGGGGAGGGGAAGGCTGAGAGGTGTAGGGGTGGGGGATGTGGGGAGGGGAAGGCTGAGAGGTGTAGGGTGGGGGGATGTGGGGAGGGGGGGAGGGGAAGGCTGAGAGGTGTAGGGGTGGGGGATGTGGGGAGGGGGGAGGGGAAGGCTGAGAGGTGTCGGGTGGGGGGATGTGGGGAGGGGAGGGGAAGGCTGAGAGGTGTAGGGGTGGGGGGATGTGGGGCGGGGGGAGGGGAAGGCTGAGCGGTGTAGGGGTGGGGGATGTGGGGCGGGGGGAGGGGCAGGCTGAGCGGTGTAGGGGTGGGGGATGTGGGGCCGGGGGCGGGGACAGGCTGCGAGGTGTAGGGTGGGGGATGTGGGGATGTGGGGAGGGGAAGGGCATGAGCAGGTGTAGGGGCGGGGGATGTTGGGGGGCTCGCCTGGGATGGTGGGCAGGGACTGGCTGGCAAAGCTCATCTGGGAGAGGACGGAGGTGCGCGGGGGTGCGGCCGCGTGCTCCGACAGGTTGGTGTCGCTCATGAACTCGTGCTTCCTGGAGAGCTGTGGACGGGGCGTGGGCATGAGCAGCCTGCTCCCCCTCACCCCGGCCCCTCCTCCCCGGAGCCCCCCCTGGCCCCCCAGGCCGGCCACGGCTCTCCAGAGCCCTCTGGGCGCTCTTGGGGCTGGGTCACACATGTCACATAGAATTCATAAGACCAACCCCACCGTCCAGTGGTTATTAACTCACGAGACCCAGGAGGCCCACCCCACCCCACCCCTGCCCGGGCGCAGGGGCTAGGGAGGGCCGCGCGTGGGTGGTGGCCCCGCACTGGGGCAGGGGCTGCTCAGACCCCCACCGGGTGGACAGGCGCCTCCTGCGTGGCTGGCGCTCAGACGAGCCGCGGCCCACGGCTCAGCCACGTGTGAGAGCCGCGGCGGGCCTGGATGCACGGCCCAGGCCGGGCGGAGCTCACCCGCTTCAGCTCGGACTCGGCCGGCTTCTCGCCGGCGAGCACCACGCTGCTTCGCTTGGCTCTCTTCTTGGAGCGGCGCAGCTTGACCTCGGGGAGCGTGCTCCCGGGGGAGATGGGCTCCTCCTCGGCTCTCGGGGTCCTGGGGGGTCCGGCCTCCAGGTCGAAGCTGCTGCCGCGGTGGAAACCACGGTCAGGGCCATGGCCACCCTGCCTGAGCCATCCCCCAGGCCACGGAGGGTGGGGAGCCGCGGGCCTTGTTTGCGCGTGTTCTGAGGGCGGAGGGCCCTGGGCAGGCTGGGCTGACCCGCGCCCAGCACCGGCCACGGCACAGCTGAAAGGTGGGACCCGGCCTGTGCTGGAGTGGGATTGGGGGGTGGGGGAGGGCCTGGAAGGGATAGCACCTCTGCCAGACAGAACATTCTAGAAGGAGGTGTGCTCCTGAGCACTGCTCTCCCCAGACGGCTGGCCTGGGAGTCTCTGGGCCGCGGTGAGCCGGCGGGGGGTGGGGGGGGAGAGCAGCGGGGAGGGGTGGCGTGGGGGGGGTTGGAGGGGAGGGCAGCGGGGAGGGGTGGCGTGGGGGGGGCGGGGCCCGGCTGACCTCTCGGGGTTGGCCTTGCTGGGGGTGCCCGAGTCGGAGTTCATGGAAGCCAGCGAGATGACCGACATCTGCCTGTAGGAGCGCAGCATGGACCGCGGGCGGCCGGCCCTCCTGTCCTCGAAGTCTGGCTGCGGGAGGGAGGACGGAGGGGGGGGGGTGCTCACCTGAGCAGCACGTCCTGTGCTGAGAGGCAAGTAGATCTGAAGGCACCTCGCTGAGCAGAGAGGACCGCTGTGCCCCCCAGGTCCTATGCCCCGCCGTACCCTCCTCCTTCCCCCCCCACCCCCCCCACCCCCCCCACCCCCATCCTGGCACTGGTCCTGGGGTATGAACTCAGGTCCTGGGTGATGTCCCTGAGCTTCCGTGGTTAGTTGGAGACCAGAGTCTCACAGACTTTCCTGCCCAGGCTGGCTTTGAACCGTGGTCCTCGGATCTCAGCCTCCTGAGTAGCTGGGATGACAGGTGTGAGCCACCAGCGCTCAGCCATCCCCCGCCTTTCTCCAACCTACCTCTCCTCCCCTAGCTTTCTCTAACTCCCCCTCTTCCCCTCTCCCCTCTTTCTCCAACCTTCCTTCTCCTCTTCCTCTCCTCTTTCTCTCATGGCTCCTCCCCTTCTCCCCCATCTCTCTCCTCTCTCCCACTGCCTTGGGGTTTTTTTTTTGGCCAGTTCTGGGGCTTGAACTCAGGGCCTGGATGCTGTCCCTGAGCATCATTTGCTCAAGGCGAGCACTCTACCACTTGAGCCACGGCGCCACTTCTGGCTTTTTCTGAGTATGTGGTGCTGAGGAATTGAACCCAGGGCCTCATGCATGCGAGGCTGGCGCTCCACCACTGAGCCATGCTCCCAGCCCTGCCTTTGAACTCTGGCACACAGTAGGTGCTTTGTACGTATGCAGCCCCAGTGTGCCCATGTGACCCGCGTGGCTGTGCGGGGCCCTGGGGTCCAGACGGACAGGCGGTTCCCTGGGTTCTTCTACAGCTTCGCCCTGCCCACCGCCACAGGGACCCCCCTGCCGGCCCCCAGATCCCCCCCCCCCCAGTCCATACCATCTCCCGGACTCCGTACTCGCGCTCGACCTTCGCCCGGAGGCTCTGGAAGCAGGCCTCCATCCGCTCGTGGAAGGGCCGCAGGTTGTCTGACACCCGCTTCTCATGGATCTTGATTCCAGCCCCCAGGAAGGGGATCTGCAGAGAAGGGCGGGCGTGGGGATGGGGGCCGTCTCCTCCCCCTCCTCCCCCGTCCTCCCGGCCTCCTCCTGGCCCGTCCGCTGCTGAGACTCCTCCTCTGGGGAGCCGGGTGCACGGGGCCCCTGGCCGAGCCCGCTGGGCGTGGATGCCGAGGGGCTAACTACTCCAACACAGGGAAGACTTCCCCCTGGACTTGAGGTGCCCGGGGAAGCTGCAGGTTGGGGAAGCTGCAGGTTGGGGTCTGCCCCGGACGGGGACCCGATGCGGGACTGTGACCCCGCCTGCCCTTGCTGCTCGGGAAGAGGCCACCAGCTTGGGTCACCCCAGCCCTGCAGAGAAGCAGCAGCCAGGCTTCCCTTTGACCCTGGCTTTGACGAGGCTGCCCTGGAAGGTGCGGGGCTGGGCCTTTGTGCTGGTGCCCACCGGGAGGGCGAGGCCCAGCCACCTGCTTTGGGGACCCTGTGGCCTGTGGAGTGAGCTAAGCTATGCGGAAGGCAGCCACAAGGGGGCGTGTTGGGGGCTGCGCTCAGGCTCCCAGGACAGGCTTTGGGTCCAGGACTTGGTAGACCTTCCCCGGGAAGGGCAGCCCGGCCCTGGCCGTCCGGTGAGGCCCAGGCCCGCTCTCTGGGCGCAGGGGACAGCCAGTACAGCATGGAGGGGCCCGGGGGACAGGTCTGGGCAGCTGTGTGGGCTGAGGGGTTGCAAGGAGGTGGCCCCCCTTCCTGGGGTCCCCCAAAGCATCCAGGAAGGGAAGGCTCAGAGCTGGCCTTTCCCCCTTTGGGGGGACCTCTGGAGGGAGCCTTAGAGATCTGGGGTCTGGGGGAGCTACAGAGTTGAAGAACGAAAAGGAGCAAAGACCGCAGACGCAGGTGCACTGTGTCTGTGAGAGCCGGAGGCTCACTGTCCAAGCCCCGCATTCGCCCGCAGAGGCAGAGGAGGCAGGGACCCCAATCAGACCTCGAACTCATCTCTAGAGCTGCGCCCCATGCCTTCCGCTCCCGATCTCCCCAGAGTCACAAAACTCCCTGCCGCGAAAGCTTGCTTTGCCACACGGGTGGGCAGGCTGACCGGCGGAAGGGAGCGAGGAGGGCCGAGCACTGTCCCCGCTGGGCAGACGCAGGGGCTGCCCCCGCCGGCCTGGGGGCAACTGGCCCTCCGAAGCCCTCCTGGACAGAGCTAGCTGATTGGGGGTTTTGTCTGCAGAGAGGGGTGGGGAAGGGGAGGGAGAGGAGGAGGGAGAGGAGGAAGGAGAGCAGCGGATGAGGAGCGGGAGGCAGAGGTGAATAACGGAGGGAGGGTCTTTTAGCAAAGAGCTTCGGAGAGACCGAAGAACCCGTAGGAGGGAGGGTGGGGGAGAGGCGGCAGCGGACAGGGGTGCAGACCCTCGGCTGAGAGCCCACTCCACACACGCGGCCGTCTGAGATCTGCAGGAGCTGAGGTCCAGCCCGCTGTGAGCAGCAAACTGGGTCAGTGTGGGAGGGAGGCGCGGCTGGGGGCAGGGCCTGCGCTATTGTCTGCCTGGTGCGTGGGGGGGAGGGGAGGGCAGGGGTGGGTGTGGGGGGGTCATGTGGGGCCGTGTCAGGGCGGGGGGGGGGGCGCGGCTGGCTTTCTGGGAGTCCCTCTGTGAAAAGCCAGAGCCTCTTGAGTTTCCCATCAAAGCCGGCAACCTTAGCAACCCCCAGTCTGGCATCTGCCTGCAGATTAGGCCGCTGGGGGGGGGGTGGTGGCCGGGCGGGGTGGGAGGCAGGGGGAGAGGATGTGTGATGGGGGGAGGCACAGCAGCCAGGGGCAAGCTGGGGACCATGAGGCAGAGAGAGTGGGGGAGGGTGGCGTGGCGGTGGCGGCCGGGCCGGCCTCACCTGCCAGGCGATCAGATCCTTGAGCCGGTGCAGCTTGTCCTGGTCCTCGGGGTGCTCCCGGGAGTACTCCTCAGTGAAGAAGGCCTGGAGGAGGCACGGGAGGCAGGCTCTGTCTATGCCCCCTCCCCACCCCCCCGTGGCCCGAGGAGAAGGCTGGATTTGGGATCTGAGGGCCTGGGGCTCTGGAGGAGGTGATGTCAGCCCCCGGGAAGCCGCGTCCGCAGGAGGACAGGGAGGGCCTCACCTTCTCGTACTTGGCAAAGCCGCCCATGACGGCCGGGTCCACGATGCCGTTGAGCAGCATGGACAGTGGGTTGATGGGCAGGCCGGGGTCGCTCTGGTACTGGTTGACCATCATCAGGATCTTCTCGTTGGCCGCGGACATGGTTTCGATGGCGTTCTCCAGGGGGCTGATGGTGCTCTGCAGGAAAGACGCACACTGGCCTCAGTGGATGCTTAGAAACAGAGACAGCTGCCGGGCGGCGCAGCCCACACCCATCACAGGCTACTCAGGAGATCGGAGGATCCCAGTTCAAAACCAGCCTGGGGCAGGAAAGGCCAGAGACTCTATCTCCAGCAAAACACCAAAAGTTGGAAGTGGAGCCGCAGGTGGTTCAAGCGGTAGAGCGCTAGCCTTGAGCAACACAGCTCAGCCACAGTGGCCGGCCCCGAGCGGGGGCCTCCGCCAGCCTCAGAGGTTGGCAAGCGGTGCCCTCAAAGCCAGCCTCTGCGGGGCCCCAAAGCCAGGGAGGAAAGAGGCACCCACACTGCCCGCTTTCTAGTCTAGGCCTCCTCCCGGGGGACGGGGTTCCCCACGGATGCCCACACTTACCTGGGAGATGTGGACCACCTCGAACCAGCGCAGGATGCCGGGCAGCTTGTACGCGGTCAGGAATGACGTCCTCTCGATCCACATGGACTGGGGGCCGGCCGGGCGCAGGGCGGGACATGGAGGCTCTTAGGACGCTGGGTCTCAGAGGCCCGGGCCCCAGGGCCGCCCACCGCCCGCGGGACGGGAATACTACAGCTCCAGCGGGCAGTGCGGCCCTGCCCGACCCCACAGTGGAGAGAGGCCACTCGAACCTTCTGGGGGCTGTGGTGCACCCCATGTCCTCAGAAGGGCAGTGACCCAAAATTACCGGGTTGGTCTAGGCTGGGGATCACGGGCACGCCCGGGCCCAGGGTCTCAGGGGGGAGGCGGGGGGGGTGGGGGGGACCGTGAGCTTGAGGTTAGCACAGGGAGACTCAGGGAGGAGGACCAAGCGGCTCCAGGGCCAGCACTCGCACCCAGCATGCCCTGGGCACTGTCCCCCAAACACCAAATACGTAAGAAGTAAGTCCAGCCACTCGGGATCCTGGTGGCAACACGAAACAAGCCGCCCGGGCCGAGAGCCACTCAAAGGAAAAGAAACGAGCAGCCAACGTGGCCCTCTCCATGGACGCCGGCCTTGAGTCCTCAGAAATCCCCACCCCCCGGGCGGAGACACTCACAGCGAACTCGTTGTCGGGGTCCACCGCACCCCTGCGCACCGGCCGGGAATAGTGGAACCGTTGCACGTAGTTGGACTTGTAAAAGCTAGAAGGAGGCGGCGGCTGGTCAGGAGAGGTCAGTTCCGGCTGCTGCCCCCTGCTGACCCTGAGCACTACACTGCACAACCCATGTGGAGGGCCTCAGCCTGCCCTCCAGGGCAGCAGCTCCAACTAGAGCCGCTGAACCACACCACGCAGTGCCCAGGACTGACAGCCATGCTACCACCACCCACCCAAGACTGACAGCCACCTACACACCACCCACCCAGGACTGACAGCCATGCTACCACCACCCACCCGAGACTGACAGCCATGCTACCACCACCCACCCGAGACTGACAGCCACCTGCACACCACCCACCCAAGACTGACAGCCATGCTACCACCACCCACCCAAGACTGACAGCCATGCTACCACCACCTACCCAAGACTGACAGCCACCTACCCACCACCCACCCAAGACTGACAGCCACCTACACACCAACCCACCCAAGACTGACAGCCATGCTACCACCACCCACCCAAGACTGACAGCCATGCTACCACCACCCACCCGAGACTGACAGCCACCTACACACCACCCACCCAGAACTGACAGCCACCTACCCACCACCCACCCAGGACTGACAGCCATGCTACCCACCACCCACCCAAGACTGACAGCCACCTGCACACCACCCACCCAAGACTGACAGCCACCTGCACACCACCCACCCAAGACTGAAAGCCACTTACACACCACCCACCCAAGACTGACAGCCATACTACACACCACCCACCCAGGACTGACAGCCATGCTAGCACCACCCACCCAAGACTGACAGCCATGCTACCCACCACCCACCCAAGACTGACAGCCACCTGCACACCACCCACCCAAGACTGACAGCCACCTGCACACCACCCACCCAAGACTGACAGCCATGCTACCACCACCCACCCAAGACTGACAGCCATGCTACCCACCACCCACCCAAGACTGACAGCCACCTACACACCAACCCACCCAAGACTGACAGCCATGCTACCACCACCCACCCAAGACTGACAGCCATGCTACCACCACCCACCCGAGACTGACAGCCACCTACACACCACCCACCCAGAACTGACAGCCACCTACCCACCACCCACCCAGGACTGACAGCCATGCTACCCACCACCCACCCAAGACTGACAGCCACCTGCACACCAACCCACCCAAGACTGACAGCCACCTGCACACCACCCACCCAAGACTGAAAGCCACTTACACACCACCCACCCAAGACTGACAGCCATACTACACACCACCCACCCAGGACTGACAGCCATGCTAGCACCACCCACCCAAGACTGACAGCCATGCTACCCACCACCCACCCAAGACTGACAGCCACCTGCACACCACCCACCCAAGACTGACAGCCACCTGCACACCACCCACCCAAGACTGACAGCCATGCTACCACCACCCACCCAAGACTGACAGCCATGCTACCCACCACCCACCCAAGACTGACAGCCATGCTACCACTACCCACCCAAGACTGACAGCTACCTACACACCATCCACCCAAGACTGACAGCCACCTGCACACCACCCACCCAAGACTGACAGCCACCTGCACACCACCCACCCAAGACTGACAGCCATGCTACCACCACCCACCCAAGACTGACAGCCACCTGCATACCACCCACCCAAGACTGACAACCACCTGCACACCACCCACCCAAGACTGACAGCCACCTACCCACCACCCACCCAAGACTGACAGCCATGCTACCACCACCCACCCAAGACTGACAGCCACCTGCACACCACCCACCCAAGACTGACAGCCACCTGCACACCACCCACCCAAGACTGACAGCCACCTGCACACCACCCACCCAGGACTGACAGCCATGCTACCACCACCCACCCAAGACTGACAGCCACCTACACACCACCCACCCAGGACTGACAGCCACCTACCCACCACCCACCCAGGACTGACAGCCATGCTACCACCACCCACCCGAGACTGACAGCCACCTGCACACCACCCACCCAAGACTGACAGCCATGCTACCACCACCCACCCAAGACTGACAGCCACCTGCACACCACCCACCCAAGACTGACAGCCACCTGCACACCACCCACCCAAGACTGACAGCCACCTACACACCACCCACCCAAGACTGACAGCCATGCTACCACCACCCACCCAAGACTGACAGCCACCTACCCACCACCCACCCAAGACTGACAGCCACCTGCACACCACCCACCCAGGACTGACAGCCACCTACACACCACCCACCCAAGACTGACAGCCATGCTACCACCACCCACCCAAGACTGACAGCCACCTACCCACCATCCACCCAGGACTGACAGCCACCTACACACCACCCACCCAGGACTGACAGCCACGGTAAATACACCTGCTAGGCAACCCCAGGCAACCTTGCTCCTCCCCTACTTGTCACCTCCCTGCTGGTCCCCTGCCAGCTCCCATCTCTCCTGAGGTTCTCTGGGGATATTGTGGGGCCACGGTGAACAACGTTCACCCACCCAGTCTAGTGAACCCCAGCCCTCCCTCCCCCCATCTCTGGCTTTGTCCAGGCTAACTGCAGGTGACTGACCTTCCAGGAGGTGACAGGGAGCACATGGGCTGACCCCAGGAGCCCGCCCCGCCCTCTCCCTTCTCCCGGGCGGGCTGCGCCACGGGGGGCGCTGGGCCCCAGCGTGACCCCAGGAGCCCACCCCGCCCTCTCCCTTCTCCCCGGCGGCTGCGGGTCTTACTTGATGATCTGGTCAGGCACAGGCTTGTTCTTGAACCGGGGGTGCTCATCCAGGACAGGCTGGACCGTGAAGCACTGGATGTCTGCAGTCTGGAGTTAAGGACTCAGGTGCACAGCAGACCGGCCGTGGGACGCCCCAGGGACCAGCTTCACCCCGACTGCGCTGCTCTCCCCCTCCCTCCCGACCTTCTCCGCGGCCCACACCCATCTCACGGCCTGGCCCTCAGCCCCGGAGGAGGCTGCACAGCTCAGTGGCCCGTTCCCGCTCCTCTTCACCTGCTCGCTGGCCTCGGGCTCCTAAACACGCAGTGAAGCCCAGGGACGCAGGCTCGCTCCCCTGCCCAAGCCAAAGGCCACGCGGCTGCCCGGGCCTGGACGTCCGCCACCGTGCAGGCCTCAGCGCGGCCTGGCCCAGGCTCTCCCCAGAGCTCTGCACACGGCCACGGAAGGGCGGCGGGGAAAGGTTACGCGTGAATATTTATCACCCAGGAGGAAAATGTGTGGATGGAGGCTCAGCAGACCGAGCCGACAGCTGTGCGCCTGCCAACCCCATTTTCAAGGCTGTGACTTCAGCCAGCTGCAGGTGGGGGTGGTGCCGGGGAGGAGGGGGAGGGGGGGTGGGGAGGATGGAGCGGAGGCCGGGTAACGCGTGCCGCCGCCTGGCTCCCACACATCAGCCCCTCGCACGGGGGAGGGAGGTGGCGGGGAGGGGGTGGTAATCCCACCCTGACCCAGCGCAGGTGCCCCCCCCCCGCTGTCTCTCTCTCCCTCTCCCCCTCCTCTCCTCTCTCCTCTCTCCTCGCTCGCTGTCTCTCCCGTGGGCTCTGGGCCGGGCACTGTGGACTCGGGTGGGCACCAGGCGGAGCCAATGTCCTCCCTCCAAGCCACAAATCGCCCAGAGCGTGGCGGACGGAGGGCAAGTCTCCCAACCACACCAACGGGGCGCGAGGTCACAGGCTCCCAATGTCCAGCAAAGGCCACGTTCCGTAAGGTGACCCAGGAGAGGGTCTGCCCGCGTGAGGGCGGGGAGCTGGGGAACCTCACTGTCCCCAAATGCCCACAGTCACGTGCGCTTGGCGGGGCGGGGTGGGGCGGGATCCCGGACGCCCAAGTGTCCCCCCGCCCCCCGCTTCCCACGGCCGCTATGGGATACACTGGCCGGGCGCGGCCCGCACCTCCTCCCCGGGGGCGGAGGTGGTGGTCAGGCTCTCGGCGTTGGGGAACTGGCTCAGGAGCTGCGCCTGGAAGTCCTCCCTCCGCTCATACTCCTTCCCCCGGTAGATGAACACCTTGTTCTGCGGGATGGGGGGGGGGCGTCAGAGCCGGCGAGCTGTGTGGGACCCCCGGGCGCCGAGGCCCCGCCGCCCCTCCCCTCGGCGGCCCCGCGAGCTCACTGTGGCTCTGCTGATGCAGGCCGGGGGCGGCTGGCAGGGCAGACGGGGCCTGCTGAGAACGTCCATCCTCATGTCACCTACCTGCAGCTTCCGATCGATCGCGCGTGTCTGTCTGGGCCCCCGCGACCCGCCCTGGCGTCCTCCGCCCCGGCTCCCCCTGAGCCCACAGGGACACACTTCTTCCCTTCCTCGGCCGTGGCCGCCTCTTCCAGACCCGTGGTCCGCCCCTTTCAGGGGTTTGAACTCCGGGCCTCACTCACAGAACAAGAACTCTATCACGGGGCCAGGCCACAGGGCCCCGTGCGTTGGCTCCGTTTTCAGGTAAAGCCCTACGTGTTTGTTTGGTCCTCCTGCCTCTACTTCCCAAGCAGCTGGGATTACAGGACGGTGCCACACAGCCCTGTCCCCAGGAGCCCTTTGAAGCTTGTATTCCCGGGGCTCGCTCCAGAGCTCTGGAAATGGCGTCTAGGGGAGTTCACCACAAGCTGCCCGCCGCCTGGGGGGTCACCCCCTCCCCGCTCCCCACCTGCTGCCTGTGGCCCGCCACAACTTCCGCAGTGTGGGAGCAGAGTGACCCGAGCTCAGGACCAGGCCTCTGTTTCTTTTCTATCTCCTGACCCCAGAACGGAGCCAGACGGGCTTTCCGCTCCGCAGAGAAACCCGGCTGAGGCTGGGGATGCGGGACTGGCTATGGGGGTCTGGTGGGGACGGTGGGGCGGCAGCGCCGTCTGCGGAGCCCCGGCGTCTGCACACGCAGCAGGCCCTCAGTGCACAGGGGAGGTGTAGAGAGGCTGGGGCTGAGCCCAGTCGCCCCAGACTCACCCGCAGGAAGGAGGGGAACCCCTGGCCGTAGTACCCGACGGCAAAGTAGTCTGGCCGGGGCCTCAGGACCCTCATGATGTTCTCATACAGCTTTGCCTGCTGGATCTGGAAGGAAAGCAGCACAGCGCCATGTGGTGCCGGTCCGGGCCCGGCCGGCTGCGGCGGTGGCACCACGTGCTCGGTGCGCATCGCTGTGCGCCTGTCCTGTGTCCTCCCCCCCCCCCCGTAACAGCCCGTGTGAAGCGCAGGGATGCTGTGACTCCCCCCACCCCGCAGTCCCCAGCCTGCCTCTCTGCAGGGGGGCACCGTGGCCCGGGCAACGGCATCGGTGCAGCCCCACAGTGCCCCGCCAGCACCCGGGCGCCCCTCGTGGGGCCCACGGCTGGAGACGCCTCCCTGTGTGCACACCTTGCGACTATTCCAGCACACACATGAAGAGACACGGCCCACAGGACTATGGAGCCCCACGTGGAGCTAGACGGGTGCCAGGAGAGGTGGCATCTGCCTCTGTGTGTGTGTTCCGGGTGTACACATGTGTGGAAGGTGTGTGCCCACGTGTGGAAGGCACGCACACCTCCATGCCTGAGAACATCTATGCAGTGATGTGTGGGACAATGCTAAGTGTCTTTATGATGCACACGTGTGAGCACATGCGTGTGCATACAGACAGGTACACTCGTGTGCATTTGCATCACATCCGGACACACAACAGAAACGGCCAACAGCTCAGATGATTTTCAAAAGACCTTCACACCCACCCCAAGAGGAAAAGCTAGCATCTGACCCTCATCCTGTAGTCTTCTGGAAAAATCTGGGCCAGCCTCCCTTGGTGGGCTGAGCAGTCCTGGAGGTCTGCACTCACTAGCACACACATTGTAGGGTGCACATGTATCAGGGTGTGTGTAGAGGTGCATGCATGCAGGGACACATACATGTACAGGCATGTACATGCAGGGTGCATGTGTAGAGGTGTGCATGTGTAGGGGTGTGTGAATGCAGGGACACGTGTATGGGCGTGTACATGCAGGGTGCATGTGTAGAGGTGTCCATGTATAGGGGTACATGCATTCAGGGACACATACGTGTATGGATTTGTACATGCAGGGTATGTATAGAGGTGTGCATGTGTAGGGGTGCGTGCATGCAGGGACACATACGTGTACAGGTGCGTGCATGCAGGGTGCATGTGTAGAAGTGTGCATGTTCATGCAGGGACACATGTGTACGGGTGTGTACATGCAGGGTGCATGTGTAGAGGTGTGTGTGTAGGGGTGCATGCATGCAGAGACACATACGTATATGGGTGTGAACACGCAGGGTGCATGTGTAGAGGTGTGCATGCAGGGACACATACGTGTACAGGTGTGTACATGCAGGGTGCCTGTGTAGAGGTGTGCATGTGCATTCAGGGACACATGTGTACGGGTGTGTACATGCAGGGTGTGTGTGTAGAGGTGTGCATGTGTAGGGGTATGTGCATGCAGGGACATGTGTATGGGTGTGCACATGCAGGGTGTGTGTAGAGGTGTGCATGTGCATGTAGAGACACGTACATGTACGGGTGTGTACATGCAGGGTGCGTGTGTAGAGGTGTGCATGTGCATACAGGGACACATACATGTATGGGTGTTTACATGTAGGGTGCGTGTGTAGAGGTGTGCACGTGTAGGGGTGTGTGCATGCAGGGACATGTGTATGGGTGCATACATGCAGAGTGCATGTGTAGAGGTGTGCACGTGCATACAGGGACATACGTGTATGGGTATGTACATGCAGGGTGCATGTGTAGAGGTGTGCATGTGCATGCAGGGACACATACATGTACGGGTGTGTACATGCAGGGTGCGTGTGTAGAGGTGTGCATGTGCATGCAGGGACACATACATGTATGGGTGTGTACATGCAGGGTGCGTGTGTAGAGGTGTGCACATGTAGGGGTGTGTGCATGCAGGGACATGTGTACAGGTGTGTACATGCAGGGTGCATGTGTAGAGGTGTGCACGTGCATACAGGGACACATACGTGTACGGGTGTGTACATGCAGGGTGCGTGTGTAGAGGTGTGCACGTGTAGGGGTGTGTGCATGCAGGGACATGTGTACAGGTGTGTGTGTACATGCAGGGTGCATGTGTAGAGGTGTGCACGTGCATGCAGGGACACATACGTGTACGGGTGTGTACATGCAGAGTGTGTGTGTAGAGGTGTGTATGTGCATGCAGGGACACATACGTGTATGGGTGTGTACGTGCAGGGTGCGTGTGTAGAGGTGTGCACGTGTAGGGGTGTGTGCATGCAGGGACATGTGTACAGGTGTGTACATGCAGGGTGCATGTGTAGAGGTGTGCATGTGCATTCAGGGACACATGTGTACGGGTGTGTACATGCAGGGTGCGTGTGTAGAGGTGCACACGTGCATACAGGGACACATACGTGTACGGGTGTGTACATGCAGGGTGCGTGTGTAGAGGTGTGCATGTGCATGCAGGGACACATACGTGTACGGGTGTGTACATGCAGGGTGCGTGTGTAGAGGTGTGCACATGCATGCAGGGGAGCGTGGAAGGCAGGTTCTGCAGGTCTCCACCACGTCCTGACTTCTGTAGTCCAAGCCAGTGGGGCTCCCTCCCCTGCTCCCCGGCCCCCAAATCCACAATGGGACCCCCAATGGAGAACATTTTCATGTGATTTTTCTACTCGTCAACAAGCCCGGATCTGTGTTTTTGCTCCGTTGGCTGCTGATGTGTGGAACTTTAATTGTGAGTAGGCAGTGTTCAATGTGTGTACAGCAGCAGGGCCGCGGGTGCCCTCCACCCCCCACCCCCGCTCCAGCCAGCCCCCCCTCCCCTCCCCCGTCTTCCCACACCCCCCCGCCCCCCCCCAGCCTCACCAGGTTGCGGCTGAGCAGCTCGTAGTCGAAGAGCTCGGTCTCGTACTGCTCTGCCAGCTCCTTGCACAAGCTGATGGCCTCCTCCCACATCTGTGGCAGACACACAGCAGAGTCAGGAGAGGTCAGGGTGCCCGGCCCCCAGAGGCCCGGAGCCCAGCCTGGCCCCCGGAGCCGGGCTCCGCAGGGAGGGTGTCGATGGCCTTTCCTGGCCTCAGCCCGCTTCCGCGGCAAGGCTGGGCGGGCTCCGTGCGTGCTGCCTGCCATGCTCTCGGAACTCACAATCCGCCTGTCTCAGGAAGCGAGAGATGGAGGTTCGGAGAGCCAGGAAACCGCCCAGGGCACCGCCAAGCTGAGCAGGCTGGCATGCGGCCCCAGGGCCGAGACCCCACCCCTACCTAGGGACCAGCGCAGGAACTCAGCCCCCTGCCCCTCAGATCCCAGCATGCAGTGGGGTGGGGTGCAGGGCCCCACTTTCTGAAGAAGTGAGCCAGCGGCCAGAGGAAGCTGGCACAGTGCTGGTCTCCTGGAGGCCCGGGTCTGGATCTCCCCCTCTGCCAGTCCCAGCCCTGCTGAACGGGGTGACGGGTCTGGAGCCAGGAGGAGGCCCCTGGAGGTGGAGTGAGGATGGGGGTGGTGCTAACACCTCTGTTTTTGTGTGCTGGGGCTGGATGCTGTCCCTGGGCTTTTGTTTTTTACCCAAGACCAGTGCTCTCTCACTTGAGCCACAGGTCCACTTCTGCTTTTTGCTGATTCGTTAGAGATAAGAGTCTTGCAGACTTTTGCCAAGCCCCCCTCAGTGGAGGAGCCCCGGGGGGGGGGCGGCTGGCGGTGACCAGGAGGCCTGTGCGCTGGGTGACAATTGTGCCCGCTGTGCCCAGCCATAAAAATAAACGGAGCCGGGCGCAGAGCGGAAGGACGGGGCTGTAAACCACGGACGGCGTAGCGAGCGGAAGGGAAACGCTGTATGTGCAGAAGAGCTGAACGTGCAGCCCTCCGTGGGTGCGCTGGGGGCCGTGTGGGGTCTCTGGGCCTCCCCAGCTGCCCTGGGACAGGATGAGGAGAAGCAGGCCTGACCCCAGGCCCAGGTCGGGTCACTGAGTGCCGGGCAGGGGCAGTGGGCGGGCACTCGCTCCCTGGTCCTCCCGGTCCGGTGGTGTTCTGGGCCTCTGGGATTCACTGAGGAGCAGCTTCTGGGCCCTGGGTATACGGCACAGGGCACCGCATGCATGCCACGGTGAGGCAGAGAGAAAGGCGGACCGGACACGCCGCGGAGCCCCAGGGGCCGGGAGTGTGGGGCCGGAGGTGGGACTGGTGAGCGCCGGGCATCCGTCCACACACGGTGGCTGCCACCCCAGGACCAGGGCAGAAATCACCCTCGGAGCCTCGTCCAGCCTCTCCTCCTTCCAGGGGAAGGAAAGCTAGAGCAGGCTAAGGAGTTGGAGCTTCTGTCTAGAAGCTTCCAACACTGTGGCTTTCAGGGTGAGCCATCTCCACCTATGGCCTGCTCTGGGGACAGACGCCCCGCCTCCCGACCCCAAGTCCTTCCTGTGCCATTTTCCTAGGAGACAGGTTGCCCCGGGGTGGGGCTCCAGCCTCCACGCCTGCGAAGCGCCTGGAGCCCAGTCCGGGCAGAGCGCTGCGTGGCCCGCTGGCTGAGGACAAAGCCCACCTGGTCCCCAAGGACGGGCCGGTGCGCCGACAGCAACACACACACGGCGAGCTCGGCTCTGCTGCCTGCGGCCGGAGGCCCAGGGACAGGCGTCTGCCCTGGAGGGCTGATCCTCATAAATGACACCCACGGCCTCCCCGGGGGCCCGGAATTTACCAGCCCTGCGCAGACATGACCTGAGGGCGGGGGTCAGGCGGGGACAGACAGTGGACTGCAGGACAGGACGCAGGGGCCCAGGGGCTCAGGGCTGCCCCGATCCACTGGGAGGGATGGGGCCGGCGGGGTGGAGATGGGGGGCAGCGGAGAGCGCCCTGAGGCAGCGGGGAGCCACGGCCAGGCGTCCCGCACCCCAGGCCCAGGCTCCCAGCTCACTGAGACGTCCCCCCTCATTCCCACACTGGGAAGAAGATGGGCCATGCAGGGGCCGAGGCCGAGGGGTAGAGAAGAGAGGCGCGGGGCCAGGCCCGGCGGAAGCCGCTGTGGGACAGGTGGTCCTGCCCGCAGGACGTGGGTGAGGCGGCCGCTGCTCTGCCCAGTCTCTCAGCCAAATCCACCCGAGGACCCCTGTGATCCGGAGACTAACGCTGGTGCCACGTCCCTCCCCTCGGCCCACTCGCTGACGGCACCCATGCGGGGTCGGTCCCAGCCGCTGGACGTTCGGGACGTGGCGTGGGGACGCGGCTCACCTTTCCTTTGTCGAAGTAGCCGATGATGGTCTCGTAGAGCGCCTCCTTCAGCTGCCGGTGAGTCTGCGGGGACTGCCGGCCCGTCTGCACCACCTGCGACGTGCACGGCTCATCCGACCACTGCGGGCAGGGCACAGGGGGCGCGGGGTCACGCGGTGCCACGTGGACGGCACACAGGGGGCGCGGGTCACGCGGTGCCACGTGGACGGCACACAGGGGGCGCGGGTCACGCGGTGCCACGTGGACGGCACACGGGACAGGGGCGCGGGGTCACACAGTGCCACGTGGACGGCACACGGGACGGTGCGCGGGGTCACGCGGTGCCACGTGGACGGCACACGGGACAGGGGGCGTGGGTCACGCGGTGCCACGTGGACGGCACACGGGACAGGGGGCGCGGGTCACGCGGTGCCACGTGGACGGCACACGGGACGGGGCGCGGGGTCACGCGGTGCCACGTGGACGGCACACGGGACAGGGGGCGCGGGGTCACGCGGTGCCACGTGGACGGCACACGGGACGGCGCGCAGGGTCACGCGGTGCCACGTGGACGGCACACGGGACAGGGGGCGCGGGGGTCATGCACGTCCTCCCAGGAGGTCCGCGCGGGGCCCGAGGACCCCGGTGTCTGGCGTGGGCCTGCAGCTGCGTCTCTGGTAACTGAGTGGAGTGGACGTGAGACCCGAGGACCACCGTGACGAGCACCCTGACCAGAGTCCCGCACGGACACCCGGCGCTTCCAGCCAGGCCACGTGACCCCGCGGCTCGCGCTGCGCGGTCTGTGGGCATCTCATCCAGCCCCGGGAGACCCGGCCCCAGCTGTTCAAAGGGGACCACGTGGACTTGGTCCACAGCGTGTCTTCCCTGGGAAGGAGAGCAGCTCGGCGGGCCGCTCCGTGGCCAGGCTGGGCTTGGTGGCCACTCACAGCTGGGCGGCGCGAAGCCCTGGGGGCTTCCGTGGCTGAACGTAAACCCCTCAGAACCTCGGCCGGGCGAAGCATGCCGGCTTCCAAGCTTGGGGGCCGGGCCGAGCGAGGAGCGGGGGGAGGGGGGCCCACACCTCCCCCAGCCCGTTCCGAGGCTAGCGGCACCTTGAGCAGCCAGGTGTGCAGGAGCAGCGTGTAGGCCGCCTCTGTGTAGTTGTCGCAGTCCAGGTGGAGGTCTCGGAGCTTGTACAGGTACCTGGGGGGGACAGGGGCGGGCGACCGGGTACCGTGACCGGAGGCGACTGGCGGGGGCGGGAAGGAGCCAGACGCACAACCACACCCTCCCTGATCCACCCAGACAGCAGCAGCCCGCAGGGTGGCAGCGCCAGCTCTGATCTGAGCTCCCGTGGGCCCCTTGCTGGCCCCGGTCCAAAGCTAAGCAGCTGATTTTGAACCGTGATGGTTGAGTCTTTGGGGTTCCTGTTTCCAGAGGAGACCCAGAGAAGTTAGGGACACAGTCCTGGCACTAATTAGATGAATGGATAGATAGATACATACATACATGTATACATACATATATAGATGGATGGATAAATGGATGGATGGATATAGATGGATGGATGGATGGATGGATGGATGGATGGATAGATAGATGGAAGGATGGATAGATGATGGATGGATAGATGGATGAATGGATGGATGGATGGATGGAAAGATGGATAGATGAATGGATGGATGATGGAAGGATGGATAGATGGATGGATGGATGGATAGATGGAAGAATGGATAGACAGATGGATATACAGATGGATGGATATAGATGGGTGGATGGATAGATGGATGGATGGATGATAAATAGATGGATGGACGGATGGATAGATGGATGGATAGATGGATGGATGGATGAATGGATAGATAGATGGAAGGATGCATAGACAGATAGATGGATGGATGGATGAATGGATAGATGGAAGGATGGAGAGATAGACGGATGGATGGATGGATAGATGGAAGAATGGATAGACGGATGGATGGATGGATGGATGGATGGATATAGATGGATGGATAGATGGATGGATGGATGGATAGATATATAGATGGACAGATGGATAGATGGATTGATGGCGACACTAATAAAAACCTTCACAGGAAAAAGTATGAGATTCTGAAACAAAGTTGGCCAAGGATATCTTTGCTCCAGATTGAGGCCTCCCCAGAGTCTTTGCTAATTAATTCCAGCATCTTCCCTGTGCCCGTAGGAGGCAAATGCCACGAAACTCACTGCTCTTCCCTCCAGATCAGACACTAGCCAACGGCCGTGGCCCGTGCCCGGACAAAGCAGGGCATCACCTGAGCCACGGGGCTGGATAAAATGAGCCATGTGCAAAATGTGGGGTGCTGCTGGGGGCTGGGGGTAAGGGAGAGGGCGGGGTGACTGTGGATGTGGGAGAAGAGTAACAAAACGTTTCAGAGAGAAGGGGAGATAAAAAGTTAACAGTCTGCAAATTTGGGTGAAGGGCGTTGCGTGCGGTACGGGAACATGGTAAGGAGGCCCCGTGAGATCAGCACTCACAGAAGACAAATACAGAGGCGTGCAAGGCACCCACGGGAGGGAGTTCCAGGGGGCACGGGCAAGACAGGACAGCAGGCGGCCCAGAGGACTCGGTGGTCAGCTAGAGGACTCGGTGGTCAGCTAGAGGACTCATGGTCAGCTAGAGGACTCATGGTCAGCTAGAGGACTCGGTGGTCAGCTAGAGGACTCATGGTCAGCTAGAGGACTCATGGTCAGCTAGAGGACTCGGTGGTCAGCTAGAGGACTCATGGTCAGCTAGAGGACTCATGGTCAGCTAGAGGACTCGGTGGTCAGCTAGAGGACTCATGGTCAGCTAGAGGACTCGGTGGTCAGCTAAGGACTCGGTGGTCAGTTAGAGGACTCATGGTCAGCTAGAGGACTCAGTGGTCAGCTAGAGGACTCATGGTCAGCTAGAGGACTCGGTGGTCAACTAGAGAACTCGGTGGTCAGCTAGAGGACTCATGGTCAGCTAGAGGACTCATGGTCAGCTAGAGGACTCGGTGGTCAGCTAGAGGACTCGGTGGTCAGCTAGAGGACTCATGGTCAGCTAGAGGACTCGTGGTCAGCTAGAGAACTCGGTGGTCAGCTAGAGGACTCATGGTCAGCTAGAGGACTCGGTGGTCAGCTAGAGGACTCGGTGGTCAGCTAGAGGACTCATGGTCAGCTAGAGGACTCATGGTCAGCTAGAGGACTCGGTGGTCAGCTAGAGGACTCAGTGGTCAGCTAGAGGACTCATGGTCAGCTAGAGGACTCGGTGGTCAGCTAGAGGACTCATGGTCAGCTAGAGGACTCATGGTCAGCTAGAGGACTCGGTGGTCAGCTAGAGGACTCATGGTCAGCTAGAGGACTCGGTGGTCAGCTAGAGGACTCATGGTCAGCTAGAGGACTCGGTGGTCAGCTAGAGGACTCATGGTCAGCTAGAGGACTCGGTGGTCAGCTAGAGGACTCGGTGGTCAGCTAGAGGACTCATGGTCAGCTAGAGGACTCGGTGGTCAGCTAGAGGACTCATGGTCAGCTAGAGGACTCGGTGGTCAGCTAGAGGACTTGGTGGTCAGCTAGAGGACTGAGTGGTCAGCTAAGGACTCAGTTGCCAGTCCAGAGGACTCAGTTGCCGGTCCAGAGGACTCAGTGGTCAGCCCAGGGGACTGAATGGTCAGCTAGAGGCCTGAGTGGTCAGCCCAGAGGATTCAGCGGTCAGCTCAGAGGACTGAGTGGTCAGCTAAGGACTCTGGTCAGCCCAGAGAAAGTAACCAGCTCAGAGGACTGAGTGGCCAGCTAGAGGACTGAGTAGCCAGCTCAGAGGACTCAGTGGTCAGCTAGAGTACTGAGTGGTCAGTCCAGAGGATTCAGTGGTCAGCTCAGAGGACCGAGTGGTCAGCTAGAGGACTCAGCGGTCAGCCCAGCAGACTCAGGAGGCCTCAGGGCTGCTGCAGAGGAAGGGAAGGAGTTGAGGGTGGGGTTTGATGGAATTGCAGCACCACCAGCCTGAGATGAAGAAAGTGTGAGCTCTGGGAGGCGTGGCCCCGGGGGGAGCCGCAGGGCAGGCGGGGTTAGAAGACAAGCCTCTCACCTTATGTACATCTCCTCCCGGTTGTTATCCTTATAGAAATTCTAGGTGGGGAGAGAGACAGGGGTGAGCGTTTTCCGTGCAGAGCCCTGGGATAGGAAAGCCCCTGCCCAGGCTGTGGGGACGAGGTGGGGTCTCAGCCATGGCGTCCTGGGGGGACACAGGTGAGCCTCGGCTGGGCTGAGACAGGTGCACGGCATAATCTTTAGAAGCGTGGCCGTGATGCACAGGGCACAGCTCTGGGGAGCAAGCGCAATCTGGAACAGTAACAGATCGAGCCGGCCCAGGGCCCCCCGAGCTGGCCCAGGCCCCTGCCCACCGTCCAAGCTGCACCGGAAGCAGAGCTTGGGAGGATCAAGGGTCCCAGGCTTCTTCCTGGGGTGAAAACGTTCGCCAGGCCCCATCTCAAAAGAAAAGGCTGGGCCTGGTGTCGCACACACGTGGTCCCGGCCATCAGGCCAGACAGGAGCACTGCAGACTGGAGCTCCAGAGCAGCGCTCTCTACACAGCGCCGTTGGGGCTGGAGTGGCCCAGCATTTGCTGACCCTGTGTGATCCAAGTCACCTGTGTGTGCTTGGGGCCGGGGCGTGTCCAGGGCACAGGCGTGTCCAGGGCACAGGCGTGTCCAGGGCACAGGCCGCGGGCAGCATCAGTGGGCAGCCTGCTCACCCCTGCCCTGCCCCCACGGCCGTCCAGGCGGACAGCTGGCAGCTGGGGCTGCGGGCGGTGGCCCGTCCCCTCCTCTCCCCGTCTGGGTGGCCATCCCAAGGTCACTTGCTCCTCCCAGGGGGGCCGTCGGGGCCCGGACCCCTCCGGCTGCTCTTTCAGCACGCTGGGCCGTGAGTTTTCAGCACTCACTCCCTCTCTGCCGTGTCAGGAGTTTCAAGCCCCCTCAGCCTCCTGGAGAATCAATGGAAGAGCTAAGCGGTGGAAACCCAGGATGGGGACTGGAGAGGGGCAATGGGGGACGGGGGGGGGGTCCTGCCACCTGGGGGATGGAGTGTCACGTGACAGACAGCATGGTCATGTGATGACAGGAGCCTGGCCCTGCGCAGCCGGCCGTGCCCCGCGTGACGGGAGAGCCCAGCTGGGAAACGGAGGCACAGCGAGCCCTGGGGCCTGGCCCCCGCCCCCCCCGTCCCCCCGCCTCCCCCGTCCCCCGCCCCCCGTCCCCCGTCCCCCCCGCCCCACCTCCCCCCCGCCCCTCACCCCCCCCGCCCCCCGCCCCCTGTCCCCCCGTCCCCCCCACCCTCCGCCCCGTCCCCCTGCCCCCCCGTCCCCCCGCCCCCCCCGCCCCCCGCCCCCCGTCCCCCGTCCCCCCCGCCCCACCTCCCCCGCCCCTCATCGCCCCCGCCCCCCGCCCCCCGCCCCCCCCGGCCCCTTCCCCCCCGCCCCCGCCCCCTGTCCCCCCACCCCCCATCCCCCGCCCCCCCCGGCCCCTTCCCCCCCGCCCCCCGCCCCCCGTCCCCCCGCCCCCTGTCCCCCCGCCTCCCCCGGCCCCTTCCCCCCCGCCCCCCCGTCCCCGTCCTCCCGCCCCCCGTCCCCCCGCCCCCCGTCCCCCCGTCCCCCGCCCTCCACCCCCCCCCCCCCGCTCCGCACCAGCAGGTTCACAGTGCAGCTCATGCGGTTGTCCTTGCTGTCGTCCGCCCCCCCGTCCCCCGCCCCTCATCCCCCCCGCCCCCCGTCCCCCCACCCCCCCGCCCCCCGCCCCCCATCCCCCGCCCTTCCCCCCCCCCCCCCCCGCTCCGCACCAGCAGGTTCACAGTGCAGCTCATGCGGTTGTCCTTGCTGTCGTCCGCCATCACGTCCCGGTAGTCCAGCAGCTTCTCCAGCAGCCCCTTCACCAGGCTCACGAAGTTCTCCACAGACTTGGCGATGGCCGGGTGCTCCACCGCACATTCCATCAGGCTGCGGGGAGACAGAGCGGGAGCTGGGAGCTGGGGGCGAGGGGGGAGCTGGGAGCTGGGGGCGTGGGGGGAGCTGGGAGCTGGGGGCGAGGGGGGAGCTGGGAGCTGGGGGCGAGGGGGGAGCTCGGAGCTGGGGGTGTGGGGTGCGGGGCACGGGGGGGGAGGCTCGGAGCTGCAGGAACTCAGAGCTGGGGGCGGGGTGCAGGGGGGCTCGGAGCTGCGGGTACAGGGCGCAGGGGGAGCTCAGAGCTGCAGGTGCAGGGTGTGGGGGGAGCTCGGAGCTGGGGGTGTGGGGTGCGGGGCACGGGGGGGGGGGAGGCTCGGAGCTGCAGGAACTCAGAGCTGGGGGCGGGGTGCGGGGGGAGCTCAGAGTTGGGGGAGTGGGGTGTGGGGGGAGCTCAGAGCTGGGGGCGGGGTGCAAGGGGTGCTCAGAGTTGGGGGAGTGGGGTGTGGGGGGAGCTCAGAGCTGGGGGCGGGGTGCAGGGGGAGCTCAGAGTTGGGGGAGCGGGGTGTGGGGGGAGCTCAGAGCTGGAGGTGGGGCACGGGGGGAGCTCAGAGTTGGGGAGCGGGGTGCAGAGCAGTCAGGGCAGAGGAGGAAGCAGAAGCCAGGTCCTCCCTTCGATTTTCACACCACTCACCCCTGTATATCCACACATGTGTTCACCTGTACACACATTCACCAGTACACACTCATCCGTACACACATTCATCCACACATGCACTCATCCGTACATGCACTCATCCGTACATGCATTCACCCGTACATGCATTCACCCGTACATGCATTCATCCGTACATGCATTCACCCGTACATGCATTCACCCGTACATGCATTCATCCATACATGCGTTCATCCATACCTGCATTCATCCGTACATGCATTCATCCATACCTGCATTCATCCGTACACGCATTCATCTGTACATGCATTCATCTGTACATGCATTCACCAGTACATGCATTCATCCATATACACATTTATCCGTACATGCATTCACCTGTACATGCATTACCTGTACATGCATTCACCCATACATGCATTCACCTGTACATGCATTCACCCATATATGGATTCACCTGTACATGCATTCATCTGTACATGCATTCGCCCATACATGCATTCATCCATACAGCTTTGCAAGCTTGGATCTTTCTATCGTCAAGATGGGAAAAAAGAATAAAAATTTAAATTTTCCAGTGTGGGTGCAGGTGCAGCACCTCACACCCATCATCCTGGCTCCCGGGGGCCCAGAATGGGAGATGGCAATGCCAGGGTGGGCAGAGCGTTCTGCAGGGCTGTCTCCACAGAGGGAGAGCGATGCGGTGCTGTGGGCCTCCATCCCAGTGGCCAGGGATGAATACCTAGTGCATTGGGGCAGTAGGGATTTCATGTTGGAACCACCACACCCACCCTGTTCTTTGAGATAGGGTCTCACTATTTGCCTGGGCTGGCCTCCAAGGGTAACGCTCCAGATCTCTACCTTCCCAGTACCTGGGATGATAGATGTGAGCTACTGTGCCCAGCCCGAGACAGAGGACTCCTCTAGATGGGGAATCTAAGTCTTTTAGAGGTCAGTGAAGTTGTCAGTATCCGTGGGCTGCCTCCAGTGTCAATGTCTAACTCCAGCTTCTCTGCATGCAGGTGCACAAGGCCAGGAAGCTGAACGGCAAACCCTCCGGGCCATGCTGGCTAGGGGTCCAGGCTGGAGGCAGGGGAGGGAAGCCTTCATCTTCCTATCCAAGTAGGGATAGGAAGCAGCTCGCTCTCAGGAGGGCGAGGGGGAGAGGCAAGGGCTTATCAGGGTCACTGCTTGCCAGAAGCCAGGGCAGGCTGCAGGGAGGCGCGTCTCGAAGATAGCGGGGCCCAGACACATCCATCTCAGCTCCGGGATGAGCACCTGCTCCCGGCATCCACGCCCAGGCAGATGGTGCCGTGATTTACACCTGTCTGGCTGAGCCGCCGCTGTGCTGCTCCTCCTGGAACAGCCACGTCCAGCCCTGCCCCTGTCCTCCTGACAGCACAGGGCCTGGGATACAGGGCCTGACTAGGCCTGTTAGCATCTCGGGTAATTTCACCAAGCCTGATGCCCGCCACAGGCTGGTCTCACCTTTGGTGCACCCGGGCCTCGCTGCTTTGGTTTTTAGGTTCTCCAGAGATTAGGGTTTGGGTTGGAAAGTGTGGGTGTGGGCCTGCCTGAGCATGGGCTGGGTTGAGACTCCGCCTGGATGATCAGCTCCACCCTGACGGAGCTTCGGTCTGCTGGACACACTTTGGGGGATGCACTTTAGAAGAGAAAGTCTTCACCATCCTCATTTCTCTATTCTCTAGGCATGGCAAGGAGGTCGTACATATAGACTAGTAGGAGTGAGATGGTGACAAATCATCCGTCCATCAGTCCAGTCACTGCCCACCTATGCATCTGTCCACCCATCCACCTAGCCATCCATCCATCATCCATCTACCTATCCATCCATCCATCTACCCATTCATCCACCCATCCATCTATCCACCCATCCACCCATTCATTACCCACCAACTCATCTGTCTACCCATCCATCCACCTATTCATCCATCCATCCATTCATCCATCCACCCACCTACCCATCCATTACCCATCTACTCATCTCCCATCCATCCATCCATCCATCCACCTATCCACCTATCCATTACCCACCTACTCATCTGTCCACCCATCCACCTATCCATCCATCCATCCATCCATCCATCCATCCATCCACCCATCCACCTATCTATCCATCCATCCATCCATCCATCCATCCATCCATCCATCCATCCATCCATCCATCCATCCATCCACCTATCCATCTATCCACCCACCCACCCATTCCATTACCCACCAACTCATCTGTCTACCCATCCATCCACCTATTCATTCATCCATCCATCCATCTACCCACCCACCCACCCATCCATTACCCACCTACTCATCTGTCCACCCATCTATCCATCCACCTATCCATCTATCCACCTACTCACCCATTCACTTCCCACCAATTCATCTGTCCACCCATCCATCCATCCATACATCCATCCACCCACCTACCCATCCATTACCCACCTACTCATCTGTCTATCCATCCATCTTCCTATCCATCTGGCTAGGTGGACAGATGAGTAGGTTGGTAATGAATAGGTGGATGGATGGATAGACATCTACTAACTTATCTGTCTACCCAGACATCCACCTATCCATCCATCCATCCATCCATCCATCCATCCACACACCCATCCACTAACTACTCATCTGTCCACCAGCCATCCACCTATTCATTACCAACCTACTCATCTGTCCACCAGCCATCCACCAATCCAACCATCCACCCATCCATCCATCCACCTACCCACCCATTACCCACCTACTCATCTGTCCACCCATCCATCCACCCACCCATCCATTACCCACCTACTCATCTGTCCACCCATCCATCCACCCACCCATCCATTACCCACCTTCTGATCTGTCTACACATCCATCTACCTATCCATCCATCCATACCCATCTATCCATCCACCCATCCATCCACTATGCACCTATTCATCCATCCATCCATTCATTCATCCTACCAACCCACCTACTCATCCATCCATCCATCCATCCATCCATCCATCCATCCATCCACCCATTCATCCTACCAACCCACCTACTCATCCATCCCTGCATCCATTCATCCTTCTACCCCTTACCCATTCATTCATCTATCAATATTCAGGTTTCCATTTTTAGGACTGTAAGATAAACTCCTGCTTAGGCCAAAGCCTTCTGCACCTGGACGCAGGACCCTGACCAGAACCTGGAACCAGCAGGTCAGGGAGGGGAGGGGAGGGTCCACGGAGGCCCTGTGCTGGGCAGAGGTTACTACAGGTTACTACAGAGCGGCCAGGCCTTTAGCTTGCTTTTGCTCTTCAGCATTCAGGAAGGATCAGGGAAGGCGCAGTTATCTCTGCCTTATTCCCAAGCCTCTCGGGGAGGGCAGGGAGGGTGAAGCCAGGCTGCCAAGGACAGACACTGGGAGCCAGGCCTGGGGGGCGGACGTGCACTGTGAAAGGCGCACCTGCTGTGAGCCAGCTGCTTCCTGATCACTCTGCTCCAAAACAACCCCAGGAGTTCATTATCCTCACTTTTGAAGAAAGGGATACCGAGGCAGGGGAGGTGGTGGGGATGGCCCAGAGGGTGGCGTGGAGTGTGGGGTAGTGGTGTCCACCAGCAGCGCCTGCCCTCAGAGATGTGCAAGCCCAGGAAAGACGCCGGAGTGGAAGTGCAAATGCCAGCCTCCAAGAAGAGAGATCTCAGCCGGGCTCATGCCTGTGATCCTAGCTACTCAGGAAGCGGAGCTCTGAGGATCACAGCTCCCAGCCAGCCCAGGCAGGAAAGCCTAAAGTCATGGAGACCCTTATCTCCAGTTAACCATCATAAAAGCAGGAAGTGGTGTGGCCCATGTAGTAGAGTGTCAGTGCAAAAAGCTGAAGGACTGGGCCAGGGAGCATGGGCGCTTCCTTCTGGAAGCGGGGCCTCTGGCAGGTCTCCAGGGCCTCCAGCCCTGGGCGGCTCTCAGGGCTGTCCACCTCCCAGCCTGCACTCACATGGACTCCAGCAACCGCATGTACTGCTCATCGCCCCGGCCGCCCTCCACCTCGTGGTCCAGCTTCAGGATGATCTCGTTTTCGAACTGCGGAGGGAGATGGGTGGACAGGAGCGTTACAAGGCCAGCCAACGTGTGTAGTGCAGGCCTCTCAGGAGTCCCAGAGGGCCCAGAGGAGAGAGAGAAGGGAGAGGAGAGGGGAGGGAGGGAGAGACAGAGACCGAGAGCCCCTTGGGCTTGCTTTCTACGGCTGGGGAGAAGTAGGAAACGGAAGGGAATTCTAATGACATGCAAAGGCCCCGGGGCGGGTGGCAGGGGGGCATCTTCAGGCAAGGGCCTGATATCATGAAGAGCCAGCGTGCCTCTCTCCATCCCCTGGAGGCCACGCCGACCCTCATCCTCCATCCATGGGGTCACGCGGGCCGAGGATACGTGGGAGGCTCCGCGTGTGGCACCCCTCCCCCACCTCCCAGACCTCGGGTCTGGGTGCCGTGCAAGCGCTGGGGCCGGGCGGCCTGCCTGCCCGTCCCTCCTCGCCCTGGCCCATCCAGCCACGACGTCACCTCCCTATCATGGACTGTGGTGGGAGGGTCTGTCACAGAACCCCGCTGCGGGGGGGGGGGCGGCTCTGGCCCCTGGGCGGTGGCGGGCACACGTGCGTGTGTCTGTGTGCGTGTATGTGCGTGTGCCTGTGTACGTGTGCGTGTGGAGGGGTTCAGCACCCACAGCGAGTTGTTACAAGGGGCAGGGCTCCCCAGGAAGCATAGAGTGTGAGTGGGCCCACAGAACCTTCTGGAAGGCTGCTCAGGGGAGGGGAGCTGAGCTTGGGGGGGGGGTGGCTCCCTGGGAGGGGCTGGCACAGGATGGGAGCCGGCGTGTCTCTAGGGGTAGAGGGGTGGGAAGTGAGTGCTTGTCTGGGGTCACAAAGCAGCTGGGAGGGAAATTGCAGGGTGCCATGGAAGACCAGAGCCGAGGCCAAGCCAGGCTCAGGAGGAGAGCCAGCATCTCTGCTGAGCGCGGCCCAAAGGGGCTGGGGGCTGGGGGCTGGGGGCTGGGGACTGGCCGTGACCATGGGGGGGGCTGTGCTGGGGACTGGCCGTGACCATGGTGGGGGGCTGGGCTGGGGACTGGCCGTGACCGTGGGGGGGCCTGTGCTGGGGACTGGCCGTGACTGTGGGGGCTGTGCTGGGCTGGGCTGGGGACTGGCCATGACCATGGTGGGGGGGGGCTGGGCTCTGGGGACTGGCCGTGACCGTGGTGGGGCTGGGCTGGGGACTGGCCGTGACCGTGGTGGGGCTGGGCTCTGAGGACTGGCCGTGTCTGTGGGGTGCTGGGCTGGGCTGGGGACTTGCCGTGACCATGGGGGTGGCTGTGCTGGGAACTGGTCGTGTCTGTGGGGGCTGTGCTGGGCTGGGCTGGGGACTGGCCATGACCGTGGGGGGGGGCTGTGCTGGGCTGGACTCTGGGGACTGGCCGTGACCGTGGGGGGGGGGCTGTGCTGGGCTGGGCTCTGGGGACTGGCCATGACCGTGGGGGGGGGGGGCTGGGCTGGGGACTGGCTGTGGCCGTGGGGGGGGCTGTGCTGGGCTGGGCTCTGGGGACTGGCCGTGTCTGTGGGGGCTGTGCTGGGCTGGGCTGGGGACTGGCCGTGACCGTGGGGGGGGGTGCACCACTCCCTGGCCCGCGCTCCCCAGCTCCGGCCCTGCCTTCTGGGGGAAGTTCAGGCAGAAGGCTGGAGGCGTCCCCATGGGGCAGCGGGGCTCGCGCGGCCTCCTCCTGTACCTTTTTGAAGTCGCCGCTCCTCTGGAACTCGCACAGCATCATGTCAAAGAAGATGGGGACGGTGGCTTTCCGGAGCTCGGCCTCGGGGATGAGCGTCATCTCCAGGATGGGCCCCACCATGCCAGGGATGAAGCAGATCTTGTTCTGGCCTGGGGGGGAGGGGACTCGCTCGCAAGGCTGCAGGGGTGCGGCTCTTCTGTGGCCGGGGCAGGGGAGAGGGGCAGAGCGGAGCCAGGGGGTCACGTGGTCACCACGTGGTCCACTCTGCGAACATCGGCTGCCGCTAGTGTGCCAAGCACCGTCACAAACCAGCCCAACACCGATGCGCACCTGCCATGCCCTGCGCCCAGCTCTGGCTGGGGTGAGGGTACGTACACACGCACGTACAGACATGTGCACACAGACACACACGGACACAATCAGAGATGTATACACACCCACAGATACGTGTCACATGCACACTGACACAGACACACACAGACACACCCACATATGTACAGACACACAACATGCACACAGACACACAGACACACAGACACGCACGTCTAGACATGCCCAGACACTCCCCAGAAGACTGTTAAGTCATCTCCTGGCCTGCGAGCACAGTCTGGCAATTAGCTTCTTTCTAATCACAGGCTGCTCAAGTCTTCCCTGAAAAGATGATGATGCTGGTTGATCATCCTCACCACGGCAGCCTGATTGCGCGTGGAATTAAAGCAGAGCCTCAAGAACGAACCTGCTTCATGATTTACTCATTATGGGAAGCCGGGGTACACAGTCGGCCCTTTAAAAATAATCCACAACGAACCCCTTCGGGGAAGCACTGCTCATGAGGACGCTGGGCGGGGGCGGAGGGGGGGACCGACACAGGCCCCCCTGGCCTCTCTGCTCATGAGGACGCTGGGGGGGGCGGAGGGGGGGACCGACACAGGCCCCCCTGGCCTCTCTGTTCATGAGGATGCTGGGGGCGGGGGGGGACCGACGCAGGCCCCCCTGGCCTCTCTGTTCATGAGGATGCTGGGGGCGGGGAGGGGGGACCGACAAAGGTCCCCCCTGGCCTCCGCTCAGGCAGTGGTCGGCTGTCAACCTCGAGTGCATCCCTGCGCCTCTCCAGGCTCACTCTGCCATGCCAGCTCCACACTGCGTGAGACTGCTTCTAAGTTAGGGGTGTAGCAGAACTCTGCTGTCATGGTTAGCCCAAAGCTTTAATTTTCTCCCTTAGGAAGTTGGAAGGAGGCCGGCGGCGCAAACGCATGCCCCTGTCCCGGTGGCGTCAAGGTGGCTGCTGCCTGCCCAGCTATCTCGCTGTTTTCCCAGAAAGGAAGAGGGGAAGGACGATGTGCAAGGCCCCTCGCTGGGCCCATCCTCTCTGCCTTGTCTGTGTCTCTCTGTGTCTGTGTTCTGTCTGTCTCTGTTTTGGCAGCACTGGTTGAACTCAGGGTCTCACATTTGTTAGGCTCTACCACTTGAGCAACACCCACAGCCCACGTACTCGTTAGCTCATTTCCAGATAGGTCTCCTGCTTTGCCTAGGCCAGCCTCTAGCCGGGGTCCTCTCTCAGGCATGGTCTGCTGCAATGCCCTAGGACTGTCCCCAGCAAACCACCAGGCCTAGGTAGGAGGGCAGAAAAGCCGTTGTAATAGGCTCTGGCTCCCGCTGACTTTGAGGAGACTAGGTCCAGTTTCAGCCAATTTACTTATCATGCGTGAATTTTTTTATTGGCCCACAGCTGAAAATAAATGTTTGGAAAATGCCAGGCAATGTGATATGCAAAGGGCGCTTCCTGCTTGGCTGTGCCGGAGTCTGCGCAGGTGGGTGTTCAGTAACAGCCTCCCATTCATCCGCATAACTGGAGCGCAGGAAGGCCTGCCAACACTAACCTATACCTGAGCAAAACCGTGTGTGTGCAAGGCTGCACGATAAAACGTAGAGAAGAGCAAGCTACGGGGAACCACGGGAGACAGAGGAGGCCCAGCTCCCAGTCACAGAGTGCCCTGCTGGGAGAGGGGGCAGGGCGAGGAGAGCAGCTCAGGGATCCACAGGCCACACAGACCACCAAGGACCACGCAGACCACCAAAGACCACGCAGACCACCAAAGACCACGCAGACCACCAAAGACCATGCAGACCACCAAAGCCCACGCAGACCACCACAGACCACCAAAGACCACGCAGGCCACAAAGACCACGCAGACCACAAAGACCACGCAGATCACCAAAGACCACGCAGGCCACCAAAGACCACGCAGACCACCAAAGACCACGCAGACCACCAAAGACCACGCAGACCACCAATGCCCACGCAGGCCACCACAGACCACCAAAGACCACGCAGGCCACAAAGACCACGCAGACCACAAAGACCACGCAGATCACCAAAGACCACGCAGGCCACCAAAGACCACGCAGACCACCAAAGACCACGCAGACCACCAAAGACCACGCAGGCCACCAAAGACCACGCAGGCCACCAAAGACCACGCAGACCACCACAGACTACCAAAGACCACGCAGGCCACAAAGACCACGCAGACCACAAAGACCACGCAGATCACCAGAGACCACGCAGGCCACCAAAGACCACGCAGACCACCAAAGACCACGCAGGCCACCAAAGACCACGCAGGCCACCAAAGACCACGCAGGCCACCAAAGACCACGCAGGCCACCAATGACCACGCAGGTCACCAATGACCACGCAGACCACCAAAGACCACGCAGACCACCAAAGACCACGCAGACCACCAAAGACCACGCAGACCACCAAAGACCACGCAGGTCACCAAAGACCACTCAGACCACCAAAGACCATGCAGACCACCAACGACCACGCTGACCACCAACGACCACGCAGACCACCAAAGACCACGCTGACCACCAAAGACCACGCAGACCACCAAAGACCATGCTGACCACCAATGACCACAAGACCACGCAGCCCATGAAGAGCCACAGACCATGCAGGCCACTGCAGCTGGTGGGCCCCTCCTGGTGCCGAGTGGAGCACACATGCTAGAAAGTGAACTGCATCTGAACCTCTCCTTTCCACTGAACGCCTTCAAGTAGTTCACATCCCTATTCACAAATGCAAAAGACGTGCTCAAGACCAGTTTCCCGGCTTCTTTTGAAAAACCGGAAGATGTGAGGAGGAGCAGGCTGGCAGTCCAATGGGACGGGGCCGCCACAGACAGTGGCCACGGCGGCCACGGCAGGAACGTGTCCATGTCTCCGTGCTCAGGCTCTTCCTCCCAATTGCTACGCAATGGTAAGTGATGCATACGTTACTTCTTACGGAAGGACACAGAGGACAGACACAAATGCTTTTCTGGTCTCCCTCCCTGGGGACATTCATCGGTGTCAGGAGAATCCCGATTGTCACACTCAGAGGGCCATCTTAGAGGCCGGGGCCAGCTCAGCGCCACAGCCACAAACGATCCGCCGATTACCCTACCCCAGGGGTGGACAACCTGCCCCACGCATCCCATGCCTGCCTGGGCTTCCTGCGGTCTCGGGGATGCAGGCTGCACGCAGCTTTGATGAGGAGAGAGCCAGAGCGGCAGCTTATGGGGCCGGGGGTGTGGCAGCCCCCATGGCTCCCGTGCGCCGGGGTCTTGACCTCTGACCTCACCAGCTCCTCTTCAGAAGGTGCGTTTGGGCCCAGAGATGCCAGATCTCCTGGCTGGTGGCCTCACAGCTCTTACAAGACGGTGTGGCCCGTGGCTGAGATGTGGCTGTCTGTCCTGCACCTGGGTCCTCAGGCTCCGCTTTGGACTTTGTGAGCCAACCCACAACCCTCCTGCCGATCAGCACACATGCTGAGCCGACACATGCCAGCGACACAGAACCCAGACGCAGAATCCGCCCTGTGCTGCTTCCCACAGAGTGGCCAGGCCTTGCTGACAAGGACGCACAAGCACTGCCCAGAAAACCCACGGGGGACTGGCAGACACCAAGAGGTCAGAGGAAGCGAAGCCCGGGACTGGTAATGGAGAGAGACAGGCACAGAGCCTGCAGATGTCTACGGAAGAGGCCAACAGCCATGCCAGAACAGAGGCCCGCACACCAAAGGGACCAAAAGCCAGAGTTAGAACTTCATTCTTCACTGCTTCCCCCAATCCATTTATCCACCCACCCATCTATCCATCCATTCATTCAACATCCATCCATCCATTTATCCATCCGTTCATTCATCCAGCACCTATCTATCCACCTGTCCATCCATTTATCCATCCATCCATCCATCCATCCATCCATCCATCCATCCATCCATCCATCACCTACCACTCCTCCATCACCCATCCATTCAATATCCACCCATCCATCTATCCATCCATCCACCCATTTATCCATTTATCCACCCACCCATTCCTCCATCATCCATACATTCATTCAACATCCATCCATCTATCCATCCATTCATTCATCCAGCACCTATCCATCCACCTGTCCATCCATTTATCCACGCATCTATCCATCCACCCACCCACCCATCCACCCATCATCTATCCATCCACCCATCCATCCATCCATTTATTCACCCACCTATCCATCCATCCATCCATCCACGGTCCACCACCCACACATTTATCTATCCATTCACCTGTCCATCCAGCACATGTTTACGGAGCAGGATTTGGGTTGTGGATGCGGTTGGTGGCTCCTGTCTTTGTGGAGGGAATACCATGCCCTGCTTCAAGGTCTTCCCCAGTGCAAGGAGGGGGAAGTTTCCCCTGCCCACGAGCATCCTGTGATGCCCAGGACATGAGTTTCCCCCGGTGCTGTCCCTTCCTCTCTCTTACAGTTCCTTTGACATCTCGACCCCTGAGAAGCAGGCTCCCCTCTGCTTGGGCAGTGGGAAGGGTGGACCCTCTCCTTCAGACTACTGTCTGGCATTATTAAGGGCTGGCTGCCTCCAATACCCTGAAATTCCCAGATCCCACCCTAGCACCCTCTGACGGAGGTCTTTGGGAAGCATGTGTGTGTGTGTGTGTGTGATTGTGTATGTGTGTGGGTGTGATTGTGCATGTGTGTGATTGTGTATGTGTATGATTGTGCATGTGTGTGATTATGCATGTGTGTGGTTGTACATGTGTGTGATTGTGCGTGTGTGGGTGTGATTGTGTGGGTGGGTGGGTGTGATTGTGCATGTGTGTGATTGTGCATGTGTGTGTGTGATTGTGTGTGGGTGTGTGCTTGTGTGTGTGATTGTGCGTGTGTTTGTGCATGGGTGTGTGATTGTGTGTGGGTGTGTGATTGTGTGTGGGTGTGATTGTTTGTGCATGGGTGTGTGATTGTGTGTGTGTGGTTGTGCGTGTGTGCGTGTGGTTGTGCGTGTGTGTGATTGTGTGTGTGGTTGTGCGTGTGTGTGATTGTGCGTGTGTGTGCGTGTGTTTGTGCATGGGTGTGATTGTGTGTGGGTGTGTGATTGTGCATGTTTGTGCATGGGTGTGATTGTGCGTGGGTGTGTAATTGTGCATGGGTGCGTGGGTGTGTGATTGTGCGTGGGTGTGTGATTGTGTGCGAGTGGGTGTGCCTGTGGTTGTGTGTGAGTGTAAGATTGTGCACGTGCGTGTGTGTGTGGCTGTGTGTGTGCGTGTGGGTGGGTGTGTGTGCGCGTGGGTGTGCGTGTGGTTGTGCGTGAGTGTGGTTGTGCACGTGTGTGTGTGTGGCTGTGTCCTTCTGCACTCGGTAGCTACTCACCCAGCTTGTACCACATGTCACGGATGGAGAAGCCAATTAACCGCCTCATGTCGCCGTACCTGCGAAGAGGAAAAGCGCTGGTGTGGGCCTCATCCCCGAGCATCTGAGACCCTCCCTCCCCCGGAGCCCAACCTACTTGCTCAGGATTTTGTTGTACTTGGCGTGGGAGAACTGCTCCAGCTGCAGAGAATCCTGCGTGATAAAAGCCACTGCCAGATGAAAATAATTGTTCCACAGCTGGAAGGAGAGGGGAGGGACCGTCAGGGCACAGCCGTGGGAGGCCAGGGTTGGGAGCCCCGGAGACACTGGTTGGTGTGAATAATCAACAAGTGTGGCAGGAGATGGGTGGAACCAGCCCGACTGTGTCTCTGCGATTTCCTAATGGGCACTGGCTCTGGGCAGGCTGGCCCACGGTGGGACGATGGGTGGATCTCTACGCGCTGTCCACGTCCCCGCGGCCTCACCCGGGGAGTCTGGACCGGGCCCCAAGGGTGGTGGACGGGGGTGAGGATCTGGGGACTGGCAGCCTCTCCAGAGGGCTCCCCGTCCTCCTGACAGCAGAGCGGCCGCGGGAGCCCATCGTGCCCCAGCACCCTGCCCCTCCTCCTTCCCACCACCCACAGCCATGCCACCTGGGCCCAGCCCAGACCTGGGAACCGCCCCCATGGCTGGGGCCAGGACTCTGTGCTAACAGGAAGCTGTCCTGTGGCTCTGGCTCTCCTGCTGGCCAGAAGTCCCTCAGGCCCAGCTCCCGGGACCACAGCCACTGGCCTCCATCTGACTGGCCATGCTGACCAAGACTCGAGCGACACCGATCCACATCGAGAAGTCATCAGGCCTCGGAGCGCCTGCCAGCTAGGTGGGAAGACCCTGGGTCTCCGTCCCACACACAAGGCCAGGAGACCCCGGGCTCCGTCCCGCACATGGCTGCGTGCAGAGGGCCGGTCGTGGTGAGAGCGCAGAGGGCCGGCTGCTGCCCTTTCGATTTCTGTGTGGCTCCTTTGGTACCAGAGTCAGCCCAGAACCAGCCAGGGGTCTGGACGGGCATCGCACAAGGCCGAGGCCCTGTGGAGAGCTGCTGGGGTGGCTTTGCTGAGCAGAGAGGACCCTTGTCTGGTCCTTCACCACCGTGCAAGTGACCACCCCGCCCGGGAGGCTTCCCTGGTTAATCCAACAAAGCCGCCCCAGGGGTCCTCACTCTACCCGGAGCACGGCCTTGAAGGGGAGACCCGTTCTAGACAGCAGATAGGAAGCCCCAGAGAGCTCCAGTGGCCGTCCAAGGTCCAACAGCCGGTGGTGACGGTTAGTTAACTCAAAGAAGCGAGAAAGTAAGACACTTGTGGTTCTCAAAACTGGATGATTAAAAAAAAAAAAAAAGATCAAATAAGGTATTTCTCATCCTGCTCGAAACCTAGTCAATTTCCCCAGAAGAAAATGTAAAGGATTTCTTATCTGCACGCTTTCAAAACCCGTGTAGGCATACGCTGCATGCCCGTGGACATCATGTCCACCGCCTGCCTCTCACCCACGGTCTGGGGAAGGTGTCCCTGTGAGCAGACCGGATCCCTCCCTTCTTTCACTACCACACTCTGTTCTGCTTTAATTTTAACCAGCTCCCTGATTACAGACATTTAGCTTCCTTCAACATCCTTCTCCAGAAACATCGCTGTCATCAGCGTTCGTGTCCGAACACTTTTATGGATGAGAAACGGGGCTTGTAGCCCGTACTCCTCATTGGGGTCTGGAAGTCCAGGGTCCAAACAGGCTCTGTTGTTTTCTGTGGCCTTTGTGGTGTGCTGGTGTCCCAGTTTCCAATCCAATGGCCAGCTCCATTGCCACACGCTACCCGTCTCTCTGAGTGTGTTTCCTCATCTGGAAAATGAGGATAATGCAATCCAGAGGGTGCGGCTGGCAGGACTCAATGGGGGAATCCTGCCTGGTACACTCCCACTCCGTCTCGTGAGATCCATTCCCTGGGAAAACCTTCCCTCACGCGCTCCACTGGGCCACAACCAGTTTGCAGCACTGAGACTCATTTTATCTACTTCGCTTGGAAGCCACACCCATTCCTTCTGCATAGCTGGGATTGCCATGGAGAGCCACTGCCAGCTTAATTTTGAGAGAGCGTTTTACTAACTTCTGCCTAGGCTGGTCTTGAACAGTGATCTCCCTATCTTCTCCCAGAATTAATTAGTTAATTAATGACATCTTAAAGCACAGTTGTTTTCTATGTCATCTGCTAGATATAGATACAGCGCGCTATTATGTCTCCCACACCTGGCATTTGGTCTGACCTACCATGTGTCCCGGGGCTATTTGCAGAAGGAGTTTGTTAATGAGCCGTACACTTCACATGCACCTCTGAAGAAACGATGTCATTTGTATTGTTTTATCCTCATTTTAGGCATCAGAAAATTGAGTCTCAGAAAGGCAAAATAAATTGTCCCAAATGGTCAAAGGGGCATTTGAATTTTAAGTGGATATTACCCTAGGACTTGGCTTCTTCTAAAAAACAAGAACTAGGGGCTGGGAAGATGGCTCAGTGGTGGAGCGCTTGCCTTGCATGCCTGAGGCCCTGGGTTCGATTCCTCAGCACCACATAAGCAAAAAGAAAAAAGCCGGAAGTGGCGTTGTGGCTCAAGTGGTAGAGCGCTAGCCTTGAGCTGAAGAGCTGAGGGACAGTGCCCAGGCCCAGAGTTCAGGCCCCACGACCGGACCCAAAAAAAAAAAAAAAAAAAAAAAAAACAAGAACTATTTTCAATTTAATTAACATATAATCACTGTACAGATTTATGAGTTCCAATGGGCAGGTTCAATCCATGTATACTCTGCATGAGGATCAAACCGGGGCTTCTACATATATCATTCCTTTGTGGTGAAACATTCGCAACCCTCTCTCTTGGCTACTCTACCTTAAGTATTGTTATTGACTGGGTTCTCCTGTACTGTAACCACGCGGCCGACTGCCTCGCCACACTGCCCCTCTCCCCCTCCCCAGCCTGGTAACTTCTTTTTTATTTTTGGGGGAGGGGGGCCCGGTCGTGGGGCCTGAACTCTGGGCCTGGGCGCTGTCCCTCAACTCTTCAGCTCAAGGCTAGCGCTCTACCACTTGAGCCACAGCACCACTTCCAGCTTTTTTCTTTTTGCTTATGTGGTGCTAAGGAATCGAACCCAGGGCCTCAGGCATGTAAGGCAAGCGCTCTACCACTGAGCCACCTTCCCAGCCCCCAAGCTGGTAACTTCTGTTCTTCCATCTCACTGTCTTGAGCTTAACCCTTCAGCTCCACAGGTAAATGAATTCACACAGCAATTGTCTTTTCTGGCCTGGCTTATTTCACCTTGCATAATCTCTGCCAGGTCTCTCCAGTCCATGCTGGCCGGTACCTGCGGCATCTCCCCATTCCTCCCTCCCTCTTTCCCTCCTTCTCTCCACCCCTCCTTCTTCCCCCTCCACACACACACACACACACACACACACACACACACACACACACACGTATATCCATCCATCACTGGTCACATTTCCATTACAAAGACTAAACGGGAAACAGTCTGGAAGATTTTCGTTTCCCAGGGTCTCCAGTATGGGCTCACAAAGGGCTGCAAGTTGAGCTGCTCTCCAGAGCTTTTCCTAAAAGGCCTCCAGCATTCAACAGATGACCAACCAGGGAGCTGCCTGGGGCTCTGCACCAATCACAGAGCTGCCTGAGGTTCTGCACCAATCAGGGAGCTGCCTGAGGTTCTGTACCAACCAGGAAGCTGCCTGGGGCTCTGCACCAATCAGAGAGCTGCCTGAGGTTCTGCACCAATCAAGAAGCTGCCTAAGGTTCTGTACCAACCAGGAAGCTGCCTGGGGCTCTGCACCAATCACAGAGCTGCCTGAGGTTCTGCACCAATCAAGGAGCTGACTGAGGTTCTGTACCGATCAAGGAGCCACCTGAGGTTCTGCACTAATCAGGGATCTGCTTGGGGCTCTGCACCAATCAGGGATCTGCCTGGAGCTCTGCACCAATCAGAGAGCCACCTGAGGTTCTGCATCAATCAGAGAGCCACCTGAGGTTCTGCACCAATCAGGGAGCTGCCTGGGGGTCTGCACCAATCAGGGAGCTGCCTCAGGTTCTGCACCAATCAGGGAGCTGCCTGGGGGTCTGCACCAATCAGGGAGTTACCTGGGGCTCTGTACCAATCAGGGAGCCACCTGAGGTTCTGCACCAATCAGGGAGCCTTCTGGGGCTTTGCATCCATCAGAGAGCTGCACCAATCAGGGAGCTGCCTGGGGCTGTGCACCAATCAGAGAGCTGCCTGGCACAGAAGCAGATTTTTCCCAGCCAACCAGCCCCCACCACTGGCCCTGCCCTACAGCCCCTTTCCCATGCTGGTGGCCACAGGGCCCTGCTGCTTCCCGGAGCTGACCAGAGCAGCCCGGTGGAACCCACAGCACCCTGCTCTGTGTGACGGCAGACTGCAATCCTCTCCCTGCAGAGCGAGTGGGGGTGGGGGGCTTTCCAGACAGGCCCGGCTCTGCGCCTGCTGCCCTGCTCAGCAGTTCAATGAATCTTAACTGAGAAGTCAGCTACTTTTCTGAAGCTCAGAAAAGCAGAGGAGACTATTCAAGTGCCAGGCGGCATCTTGTTCCCTATTCTGCGGCCATCACAGAATGCCCGAGACTTGAGAACACGCACAGAACAGACAGTTATTCCTTGCCGTTGGGAAGGTGGGAAGTCGAAGGCCTAGAGGCTGCATCCGGGAGGGCCTGCCGCCCGCAGAGCCCTCCTGATCTAACGGCCTGCCTCTTAAATAACCCGCCTCTCCACGTGGGCGCGGGGACCGAGGTCCAGGCCCATGACCCTGGGGCACAGTGGAGGTTGCTCTGCCCTTGAACCCCTCCAACAGTGATGGGTAGCCTGGGCCCTGGCAGCGTGAACTGTCAATCCTCTTCCCGTCTTCCCTGATCAAACACACGGGCCTGCCTGTCCATTAGCTCTCGCTCCAAGCACAAACCCCGTTCCTTCCCTTCCCAGCGCCCGGCACCCACATTCCCACACTGTGGCACCCACAGAGCAATGCTTTCTGCCCTTTGAATGACAAAATCACAGCTCTGGAGAAATGAGGGCTAATCCCTCGGCCCCCACCTCCCCTGGACAACGGCGGCTGGCCAGCCGAGCTCAGTGATGGGTACCAGCCCTGCTGATATTAAATGCATAATTAATGAAACCGTAAGGAGGAGACAAGACGTGTTCCAGGCGGCAGACAGAGAACAATCCATCCTCACCCAGGGAGGAAGAGCAAGCCAACGCCGAGAAGGCTGAAAAATGACCCTGTTCTTAGACTGCTTTTCACTAAGCACCCAGGAGCCTTGACTAGACACAGAACCTCCCTCGACCCCGTGTGAGCTCCCAGTGCTCACCTGGAACTCGAAGTGCGTGTGCTCCAGGAACTTCTGGTTCATGATCTCGGCAAACTTGTTGATGGCTCTCAGGAAGACCCTGGGGGAGGGGAGGAGGTTGCCGGGTCACCGGAGCACGCATCCCGGGGGCCCCTGGTCACCCTACCCACCTCCCGGCCCCTGGCCCTGCCCCGTGTGCTACAGCAGAGTCCCCTCGTCCTCCTGCAGGGCTGATTTGCCCACCACGGCCCCCACCCTAGCTGACATCCGACCACACTGAAAACCCCTCCGTGCCTGCCCCCTAACAACCCCGGAGCTGGCTGCTTAACCTCCTTCTGACATCCGCAACGTCCTGGGTTAAAGGCAGGAGACGCTTGTGGCAGAAAATCCGTATCAACCTTCCGAAACACCGACGCGGAGAGAAGTCGCCCCTTCCCAGCCAGCCACCCAGCCTGGCACCGAGTCGGCCCGTCCAGAGGAAGCCCCCACAGCCAAGGCCCCAGACGTGCACACGGAGGCGATGTTTCGATGGCGGCGGGGGCTGAACGCCACCTCACAACCCGCGGGGATAAATCGTGTGCCCTGCCCGTGCTGGCCAGTGAGCGCGGACATACATCATCCCTCTCGATCGCTGAGGATCACGGCCGTGAGGCTGCTTCGCCATTTATTTAATCGCTTTCTTATTGATGGGCCTTCTTGCGGCGTCTCGGCTCGCTCTGTTCTGAACGGCGTTCTGGTGGGTCCTTGGCCACGCACACCTCGTGCTCCGCATATGCCTTGTACTTCCTGTAATCACCCCTGCCCCCGGCCTGTCCAGATCAGTGCAGCCCTCCCTGCACATCTGGACAGCTGCTGTCCAAGGCAAGTTGTCCTTCAGTGTGTCCCTTGCTGCTCCTTGCCAGGCCCCGACCCCTGTTCAGTCACGGCAGCGCCCCGTGGTTCCCCCCACCCCCACAGCCCCATGAATGGCTGTTGCCGACTCTCGGGACAACCTGCTGTCCACGCCAGGTCTCTCTCATTGCTGGGGCTCTGGCCTTCCTTCCCGGGTTTGTGTCTCATGACCGCCCCGTGCTTCCCGGCACATCCTGAGAACTTGGCCTTGGGGCTGTGCTTTTGGTCCAACGCCCCCAGGTTTGCCTCTCCTCGCTGCCGTTGGGAGAGGCACAGGATTTGGCACGCACGCCCACATGCACGCACGCATGCGCGCACGGAGCAGAGGTCACCTCTGGTCTTGCCGTCCTCTAGCTCTGAGGACTTGGGGCAGGTGGCCGTCACCTCTGAATGCTCAGCTCCCTCCCCTGGAGGCCTGTGCGGTGGGGGACGGGCCCACCGTTCACGAACAGCCTTTGAAAGGATGTCTCTTTCCTCCATGAAGACTGGTCATGGGACTCTGTGGACAGAAAGGCTCCGCGTGGCTGGCAGCGTGTGTGGAAGCATCTCGGGGTCTGACATGTGACACCAGAGCGAGGGCTTTGTGCGCCCCGACAGCAAGAGCGCCCCCTGGGGTCCAGCCAGGGTCACTGTCCCAGCCTCAGCCTGGGTCTGGCCGGCTCCTGGGGCAGGGCCAGTGGCCAGCAGTTGGCCCCGAGGGATGATGGACATGTGGGGTGGGGGAGGAGGAGGCAGTGAATTCTTTCCTCTTTCCAGATTCTTCCAGAGCCACCTGGTCGAGTGGGAACGTGGCTGAACCGTGGGTGACGCCTTCTTACCTTCTCCCTTCCTCTTTTGAAGACAGTTGCCCTCAAACCTAAGCATGGATGTGGTGAAGTAGGCTGAGGACGTAGTGAGCTGTTAGAACGAAGTTCCTGACCGAAGTACTAGAGCATCAGGATCTCAGCGAAGGCCCAGCCGGTAGAGCGTGGGCGCCTCCACCTCCCCATCCGTTCTGACCTCCGGGAAGCCGAGCGCAGCCCAGCCCCGGGGCCAGGCTGCCTCCCCCGCCTTTCTCCAAGGCTTCTTGGCTTCCTGGGCGTCTGCTGGCTGCTTTGACGTTGAGCCTGCATGGACCTTCGCCGGGACCTGTCTTCCCGCGACCTCTGCCCCGGCGTGTGTCTTCCCGCGACCTCTGCCCCGGGGCGTGTCTTCCCGTGTCCAGCTCACACGTGCTTGCATGGCTCCTGCCTTTGGCCGGCGGGGCCCGGGCCCAGCCCCGGATGCCGCACGGTGTGTTGTGGGCCGGCCAGCAGGCAGCGGGCTGGCAAGCCGACACCAAGCGGCAGGGGTGGTTAACCCCCTGGCAGCCCGGGGAGCATGTGGAGCGGGTCCTGAGCGGAGCTACTCTGCAGGGAAGGCCTCTGATGGGAAGGCGGCCCCTCCCTCCCACGCCCGTCCCGTAGCTCCCTGGGTCAGCCACCTGACCCTGGCCCAGGTGAACTGTGACCGCCACACACACAGACCCCTTGGGAGCTGGAGGGGGCTGCGGCAACCCCTGCCCTTCCGAGCGGTGACCTTGAACTCCTCGGCAAAGTTGGGATTCCATCCGCCCATCTCACAGTGAGGAAGACGGAGTCCAGCAGAGCCGCTTGTCCAGGGCTCAGCCCCAGGCCTCCCCAGCATGAACTGCCCGGCCACCTCTGGCCCTGAGCTCAGGATGCTGACCGCATTTCCATCTGGTCTCCCCAGGAGACAAAGCCCCCGCCCGCACGCCCCAGGGCCCGCTCCCTGAGCCTCGGGCTTCTGCAAAGACTTGCCAGTTGACTTCATTTTAGTGGCGGGTGTGGGAATCCCGGACTGAGGTGCAGGTGGAAGGGGGCGGGGGGGGGGGGACAAGGCTGCCGGGCAAAACTCTGTTAATTTACAACATTGTAGAGAACTTCATCATTGTGAAATTAACCGCGTCGCGTAAATCAGCTCGCACTGGGGGCTGCGTCTCACCAGGAGGAAAAGCTGGCGACTGGAAGGATGTCTCCCAGCAGACAGCCGCCCCGTCTACATGCCCGAACAATGCACGGCTCCGAACCACAGACACCTGTGCTACACACACGCGCGCGCACACACATGCACACGCACACACACGCACACACACGTGCACACACATGCATGTGTACACATACACACAAGCACACACGCACGCACACAGTGCACACGCACACACACGCACACACACGCACGCGCATGTGTGCGCACACACGCATGCACACACGTGCACACGTGCACATGCGCACGCTCCTCACCGGGACCCGAGCCCCCTCAGCCCTCCGGCGTGGCTGTGCGCTGTGTTGGCCCACCTGTTCTGCACCATGCCCATGGCCATCCAGTCCCCGGGGTACACGTTCTTCCCAATCAGGTCCTTGAACATGATGAAGGTCTCCATCAGGAAGTCCTGAAACCGCACAGAGCACATGCGTGTCACCCAGCCCCGCAGGAGCTCACACAACACACATGTGCACAGAGCACATTTGTGTCACCCAGCCCCACAGGAGCTCACAGGGCACACGCGTGTCAGCCGGCCCCGCGGGGGCTCACAGGGCACACGCGTGTCAGCCGGCCCCGCGGGGGCTCACAGGGCACATGTGTGTCAGCCGGCCCCACGGGGGCTCACAGGGCACACGTGTGTCACCCAGCCCCGCAGGAGCTCACAGGGCACACGTGTGTCAGCCTGCCCCGTGGGAGCTCACACAACACACAGGTGCGCAGAGCACATACGTGTCAGCCGGCCCCATAGGAGCTCACAGGGCACACGTGTGTCAGCCGGCCCCACAGGAGCTCACAGGGCACACGCGTGTCAGCCGGCCCCGCGGGGGCTCACAGGGCACACGCGTGTCAGCCAGCCCCGCGGGGGCTCACAGGGCACACGCGTGTCAGCCGGCCCCGCGGGGGCTCACAGGGCACACGCGTGTCAGCCGGCCCCGCGGGGGCTCACAGGGCACACGCGTGTCAGCCGGCCCCACGGGGGCTCACAGGGCACACGCGTGTCAGCCGGCCCCATGGGGGCTCACAGGGCACACGCGTGTCAGCCGGCCCTGGGGCCCCACATCTTGGTGGCTCTGGATCCCCCCCTCTTTTAGAGGGATAGAGAGGAACAAGGCCGAGGTTTTCACACAGCAGTTCACAATGCCAGTGTGTGCAGGCGTGCACATGCATGTCATGTTACAGGTGTGTGCTGTGTGTTTATGGTAGAGGACAGGAAAGCTAGGGGGACTTAACTTGAAAGTCACTGTGTTAAGCTACATTGCAAAATTCTGGGGATGGTGCGGGTTCCTTTCCAGTACCTTTGCTTCTCGGGGGGCCACGCTCGGTTCCAGGCAGGGCTCTGACTCACAAGAACAGAGCCAGTGCTGTCTGCTAGGTGCTAAGTCTACCTCACAGGCCACCATGGGGACCCAGCCAGTGCTGCCTGCTAGGTGCTTAGCATGGGTCCTGAAGCCTGCCAAGGCTGGTCAGCGCCGGCGCTGGTGCTGATTACTCTTATTATCTATGAGGGGGGGGGATGTGTCTTTCCCCGTGGGCCTGCTCCCTATGTGGGGGGGGGGGGTGGAGAGGGGCTCCTGGGCGAGGGGGGCCCCGGGGACTGACGGGGGCGGCAGGTGTGGTAGGTGAGACAGACAAGGAGCGGAAGGGGACGGAGCGAGTGTTCATGACTGTGCCGGCCCCCGGGGAGACCTCCCAGTCCCTGCCCACCGGCCAGCCGCACTCACCACGAGGTCGGTGCTGGTCTGGAAGGTCTCGATGTAGAAGGAGTAGTGCTGGTCCCCCATCTGGTCCAAGATGGCGGTCATGCAGGCCACGAAATGACTCTGCGAGAAACAAAGAGCAAACCCTGACGGGAGGAACGGGGCCTGGGGATTCACCGTCCCCCTCCCCCTCCCCTCCAGCTAGAAACACGCCGCACGAACGAGAGCGGAGGCCGGAGGAGGAGGTCTCTGCTGACCAGAGCAGTGTGAGCGCTCCCACCAAGGATGCCTGCTGACACTCGGTGCGCGCATGCCCCGGCACCCACCATGTGCCTGGGACAGGGAGGAGAGACTGGCCCACCGCAGCCCCTCTGCTCGGGCCCTGGAGAAGCGTTCTGTGAGGGATGATGACCTTGGCCTTGAGCTAAGCTTGGCCCAGTGGGTGTCTAAATCACCATCCACGAGACAAGACGTGGAAGAGCGGGTACGCCAGCCCAGACAGACACGCCAACCGCACAGCAAACGATCCCGGGGTGGGGAGACGCACCGACCCTTCCTGCCCCCGCCTGCAGAGCAACGCTGGGAGGTCCCATTTCGAGCATTCACACCTGTAATTCCACATCTCTCACACCAACCCACCATCCACCCCCACCCCAGAGTCACTGGAAGGGTCAGACGGCTCCTGCAAGGCCTGGACACACGGGGAGGGGTTCGGGGAGGGTCAGCGGGCCGGCGGGAGGCCCAGAGAAGTTGTGTGGACAGTGACGGCACTTGCTAAAGGCCCTGGGAGGAGAAGCAGAGCCGTCCAGAGTTCAGGACTGGGCTTGGAACGCAGCACTAACATCCCAGCACCTGCATCTGGTGAGCAAGAGGCAGATCAAGGTGGAGACCCAAGGGGAGGGTCTGGAAGATTCCTAGGATTGGAGGAGCGAGGATAGACAGCCAGCGTGACCATCACGGCCCCCGTGTGGCTGCAGCTTGGACCACGGAGAGGCCTGTGAGGCCCAGACCAGGGCAGACCCGCAGACACAACCCACCGCCCTGCCACAGCCTGCAGAGAACCTGCCCATGAACGTTTTTCATAGTTGAACAACAACAACAACAAAGAGTAATCGAGATACTGGTATCAGAAACTGCTGCCTTTGCTTGTTAAGAACTTCTCCATTTGTCAAAAAGACAATAACAAGCCGGAGCAGGCGGCTCACGCCTGTCATCCCAGCTACTCAGGAGGCTGAGATCTGAGGACTGAGGTTCAAAGCCAGCCCGGGCAGGAAAGTACCTGAGACTCTTCTCTCCAATAAACCACTAGAAAACCAGAAGTGACGCTGTGGCTCAAGTGGTAGAGTGCTCGCCTTGAGCTGAGGGACAGCGCCCAGGCCCAGAGTTCAAGACCCACGACCGACAAAAAAAGACAATAATAAATTTTCATAACCACTTAGGTCTGCGAGATCACAGGGGTGCATTTCTGTCCCCTGAGTGTTCCCTGGGGTGTCCAAACCCTCCTCAAACTCCTGATAACTTCTCCTGTGCACCCCGCTCACCTCCTGCTGGGGAGCTGGGGGCGGCATGCACCCAGTCTGATGACAAGCTGTGGTTTAAAATGGCCGAGGACCTCAGAAGGGCCTTGGAAGCGTCGACCCCGCAGGGTCAGGGGTCAGCCACGCCACTGACCGGCTGCCAGTGACCCCGTGCCCGCGTACCGCCCATGCTGCGTCCTCACGCGTACCGGGCAGGGCCTCTGCGCTCCCTGTGTAGGGCACGGGGGGGGGGGGGGTCCACGGGCCTCACATCCACCTGCCCCACCCCGAAACCTGCCCTGCTGGGGCCTCCAGTGGGTGCTGTTGAGTTTGCCCTGGCCACTCCCTCCCCGGCTCCCACCCAGTCCACCAAGTGAGCCTGATTTGTACCAGGCTGAACACAGGGCGGGGAGGGGGGAGGGGACAGACCCTGGAGTCGGAGGGGTGGGAGGTGAATGCCCCCCCCTCCGTCCGTCCCTTGCCCTCCCCCTCTCCCATTCTCTCTCTCCCTCCCTTCAAGAATTCATCCTGCGGCCACTAGAGGTCTTCCATCTCTCCTCCTCGTACGGCAGCCGCTGTGTAGTTTGCTCTGCTCTTATTATTCCTACGTGAGCAGACCCTCCGCACTTCTTGCGTCTGCACGGGGAAGATGACCATCTAAAGGGCTTCCTCTCCCTTCCTGCTGGAGTTATTCTGCCGCCGGGGAGAGGCTGGTTCGCGTCGGGAAGAGAGGAGCTTCCTCTTCGGGCAGTCTCCTGCTTCGAGGTAAGAGACGCCAGGAGCTTTGATTTTTATTTTTCATTTTTTTGCGGTCGATGTGATTGGAGGGGGAAACGCAGTCATCTCTTGGGTAATAGTTTACTTTGAAAGCTTGGCTTGGATGTGTGTGCGCGTGTGCATGTGTGTGTGTGTGTGTGCGTGCGTGTGTGCTGTGTGGTCTCTGGTCCGGCAGATCTGGGGCTGCAGGCAACCCTAAATGCATGGTGCTCGGAGGCTTTTTATTTCCAATGGCTTGATTTGAATGTGAGGGAGAAGATGCACAGAACCACCCCGGGGAGCTCAAGTTGCACAGCGCTACCTTGGAAAGGTGGTATTTTTCTGGAGCTTTGTTTGGGGGAAACTTCTAGGCTTCATTTACAAAGGAAAAAAAATTTGTAATAGGAGGGAGACGGTGGTCCCCACCAGGGAGGTGAGGGGCTCCTCGGGGAAGCGCTGCTGCTGGGTCGCGAGTGGGCGCGTCGGCGTGTGGAGTTCTGGGCTCGGTGGCGATCACTTTTGTCAGCTGTGTGTGAGATCTCTTTGTTCCGAGGACCCCCTCGACCCCCGGCCTCTGGGCAGGGTTTGGGGGCGCCCGGCGCCTGCACACCTCACCTACGTTTGGCTGTGGGGGAGCAGCTCTGCTGCTGTTTTCCACTTCCCACCCTGCTTCCCCGCCCTGGTGGCTAGCCCACCTTGCAGTCAGGTCACCGAGCATCACGGAGCCGCGGCCGGGAGGCTCCTGAAATAGCGTTTTTTAAAGCCGTAGCCCACACTCTGTGGTGCCGTGGCGGGCGACGGCTGAGCCTCCAGGCGTGGATCCCCCCTTGGCGTCTCCTGGGTGGCGAGCGCCCCCTGCCCCTCTCCATGCTGCCACGTCCACTGTGTCTTCCGTGGGGGGCGGGAAGGGGGGGCAGGGGTGGCGGTCAGCCCATGTCGGCTCACCGCCGTTGCTCAAACTTTACGCCGGAGGACCCCAGACTCCCGGGAACCCCTCTACCCCCAGCAACCCAGAAGAGCCCAGACCCTGCAGCAGACACTGGGGTGGGGATCCCCCCTCCCCCGTTCTTATCCAGGGCAGAGATTCCGCCAGGCATATTTACTAGCAGGCATGAGGCAGCCACTCACCCGTGCCTGAGCAGCGTGCCCGTGCCCGCGGATAGGAAATTGCTTCTCAACACAGAATGCCTGTGGGACTCTGTAGATTAAGTTCCAGGGAGAAATTGAATCCGAAACCGGGCGAGGCTCACCTCGCGCCCGCCGGCTGGCTTCAAATATGGCTAATGAGTCACAGCGCGAAGAGACACGGTTCGAAACTAGGTCAAACGTGTAAAAATAAGCACAAGGCAGGCGCGGGGCTGCGTGGTGCGGGGTGGCGCGTCCCGGCCGCGGGGCCACGGGGGGCTCTCCCGGGAGGGCCGTCCCTCCACCCAGGTCTGGGCACGCCCCAGCGTCTGGACCAAGTGAGGACCCCGTGTTGAGAGCGACTGGGCAGTCTTCCCAATGGCACCCCGAGTCACTGGCTCCACCCATGCATTAGAAATAGCAGCATCATTGTAGTAGTAAACCTATCTACTTAACAGCCTCGGGTACACGCTCACACACGCGCACACGCGCACACACACCCCTCCCGCAGAGCTGAGAGACCCAAGGCAGACGCTCTCTTCTTCCTCTACCAACAAAATCGGGGAGAAGAGTCTGGTGGCAGCCGACACCCCCACTCACCTATGGGTGAGGGAGATGAGGGTTAGGAGGGAGGGAAGGAGGGAGGGAAGGAGGGAGGAGGAGGAGGAGGAGAGAGAGAGAGAGAGAGAGAGAGCGAGAACGCTAACTTTGCCAGCTCGCTACCTAAATACCAGCATTACTATGCGGTACCAGCTGGTGGCACGTTGCTATAGTAACTTCAAATAACATGCGCGACCAAAATAAAATGGAATATAGAGAGCGCCCGGGAGAGGAGAAAGTTTGCAGGCCGAGGAGGCTGGTGGAGAGATGAGCGTCTTCCTACGGTCTGTCTGTCCTGCGGAGACTCGGGAGGGGCCGGTGCCCCTCAGGGTAGCTTTACCCTCCCCCCTGTGTCTGCCGGGCGGTGATGGGGGGGGGGACGGGTTGGGGTTTATTCTGGATGAAGTGAGCGACATCTGGGGCTGGGCCGGGACGGAGGTGGGAAAGACCCAGGGGAGCATCGTGGAGCCATCTTGGGGGCAGCTGCTGACGTGACCTCCCGTCTCTGGTGGCCACGGCCCAGGGCCGGGCCCTGCGCGGGGTCCAGCAGCGAGCAGGACAGACAGGGCGCTGCCCCAGCCGGGCTCCACGTGGGATTGGACGCGCGCGCAGCCCCGGCCGCGTCTCCGCCGACAGCCGGCTGTGACCTTGAGCGGGTCCGGAGCCTCCGGAGCCTCCGACGCCTCACCTGGCAGAGGATCGGCCTGCGAGAGCCCTCGGGAGGCGGCGCCCATGATGAACTCTTCCTGCCGGCTGTGGTCCAGAGAGACATGCGCTCCGCCAGCTCCCGTTCCCCCCCCGACCTCAGCAGTGAGGTCTGTCCACACACACCCTGCTCCCGTCTGTCTGTCTGCACATAGTGGCTCCCAGCACAGGCTGGCATCAGGCTCTGTGCCGTCCGTCCATCTGTCTGTCTGCACACAGTGGTTCCCAGAGCAGGCTGGTGTCAGGCTCTGTACCATCTGTTTAGCTGTCTGTCTGTCTGCACGCAGTGGCTCCCAGAGCAGGCTGGTATTAGGCTCTGTGCCGTCTGTCCGTCTGTCTGCACGCTGTGATTCCCAGAGCAGGTTGGCGTCAGGCTCTGTGCCATCTGTCTGTCTGTCTGTCCACACACACCCTTCTCCC